CTCTCCAGCCACTTCCTCGGCTTCCTTGGCTCCTTCAACTTTCAACAGGCTTCCCCTAAATTTAAAAAAAAAAAAAAAAATTCTTCCTCAAAAAACTCCCCCTTCTTCTTTCTCACCACTGATACCGATTTTAAAGGAAGTCTATACTTCATTTTTTTTCTCATTATCAACTACCTGTCTCCAAGTTCTGCTGCTCTCTGTATCAGTTATCTTTCTCTTCTTGTATATGTATTGTTTCTCCAAATATACTGTAAATTTATTTTTTAAATGTATTTTTATTTCAGAAAGGAAGAGAGAGGGAGAGAGAAAGATAGAAACATCAATGATGAGAATCCTTGATTGGCTGCTTCCTGCATGCCTTCTACTGGAGATTGAGCCTGCAACCTCAGCCTGTTGACCAGAATTGAACCTGGGACCCTTCAGTCCACAGGCCAACGCTCCATCCACTGAGCCAGACCAGCTAGGACTGGACTGTAGGTTCCTTGAGGGTAGGATCACGTTGCGTTCTTTTTTGTATTCCCTACAGAAGTTGGCACAGTGCCTCGTTCTCTATACCAGGATGCCGTCGGTTGTGCTCGCCGGCCAAACCACAGTCCTAGTTACACTCAGCTCTCTGACTACACCACGCCTGCCTCCAAAGCAGCTGAAGGGCCTTGGAAGAAAGCTTACAAGTTTGTGTCCCTCCAGGCTTTCCGTCTAGTACTCCAAAGGCTGATTAGGTTCACGTTCCTACTCTCCAAAGTGCCCAATTCACAGACTTCCTCCTGTCTCAGCTCTTCCACACCTTCTCTCTCCTTCTCACGCTCTTTGCTGCAGAGCTTGACTCTTCCTTTCTAGAGAAAGTCAGAACCAACTGAAACCGGTTTGGCTCAGTGGATAGAGCGTGGGCCTGCAGACTGAAAGGTCCCAGGTTCGATCCCAGTCAAGGGCATGTACGTTGGTTGCGGGCACATCCCCAGTAGGGGGTGTGCAAGAGGCAGTAGGGGGTGTGCAAGAAGCAGCTGATTGATGATTCTCTCTCATCGATGTTTCTAACTCTCTATCCCTCTCTCTTCCTCTCTGTTAAAAAATAAATAAATAAAATATATATTAGGAAGAGAGAGAGAGAGAGAGAGAGAGAAAGTCAGAACTAGTCAGAGGTAGTGTGGTCAATGGGTAAGAACCAGTCTTGGGGGCCCTGACTTCCCAAGGTGCAGGGACTCCCACCTGCCAGGTTTAAGTTACCAAAGAGAAGCCAACTGGTGCCGAGCTGGCATGGTTCAGTGGTTGAGGATCCTGCCTATGAAGCAGGAGGGTCACTGCTTGATTCCTGGTCAGGGTACATGCCCAGGTTTTGGGCTGCATCCCTGGTAAGGGGGCATGCAGGAGGCAGTGGACCCCTGTTTTGCTCTCACATGGATGCTTCTTTCTCTAACTTTTTCTCCCTCTAAAAATCATTTTAAAAATATTTTAAAATATATTTTATTGATTTTTTTACAGAGAGGAAGGGAGAGAGATAGAGAGCCAGAAACGTCGATGAGAGAGAAACATTGACCAGCCGCATCCTGCACACCCCCCACCGGGGATGTACCTGCAACCAATGTACGTGCCCTTGACCGGAATCAAACCCGGGACCCTTCAGTCCACAGACCGACGCTCTACCACTGAGCCAAACCGGTTTCGGCAATATTTTAAAAAAATAATTGAAAATAAATGCTTGATTCCTTTTCTAATCGTACAAGGCCCTCTCCAGCTCTCTTGAATCGCCTTCCTCTAGCCCCTCTAGGTTAAGGCCCTTGTAGTAGCCATTTTCTTTGCCTGGAATATGCCCTCATTCAGGCCTGAACTCCAAACTCACCTGCACAGAAAGGCCTCCCATGATTGTCCAACCTGAGATAGCACCCCTCACCCCTTCCTAATGCAGACTGGTAATTTTTAAAAATTGGTTTTAGCCCTAGCTGGTTTGGCTCAGTGGATAGAGTGCCAGCCTGCAGATAGAAGGGTCCCAGTTTCCATTCTGGTCAAGGACATGTGCTCGTACTGGGGCTTGATCTCCAGTAGGGGGCGTGCAGAAGGCAGACATTCAATGATTCTCATCACTGATGTACTTGTACATTTATTTCTGTCAGTGAAGACTCAGAACCTTTGTGACTTTCCTTTGAAAGCATGTTCTCTACCTAGAAAAGGCAGTTTGGTACCCAAGTTCATGTTTTCAAAGGGCTATGTTTTCAGGTGGTCTTTCAATTTTGTTCCCCATCATAAGTGAATTCAATATAATTTAGCAAGAAGTACCTAATTTTGAACAAGTAAACAATTTCAGCACAAAAAATTAGGATTGGCATAAAAAGAATTTATCAAACACTTACCAACAAAAGAAGGTGGGGCTTTAGAACACAAAGCTTGCCAGCACTCTGGTGTGGGCGGGACCTAATTGTATTGAGTCACCACAAGTGGACAAGGAGAACAAGCAAAGTGTGTCCAGGGGGTATAGCTCAGTGGTAGAGCATTTGACTGCAGATCAAGAGGTCCCCGGTTCAAATCCGGGTGCCCCCTCACATGTCCTTGACATTTTCCTCCCCTCACTCAGGTGTAACCCCATTATAAGGTGAATGAATTAGTGCTTCTAAGCAGTCCCCTCACTGAGTCAGGGAGAAGCCTTACTCTCAGGTGGAAAAAAAGCAACCAACACTTCCTTTCTTTGAGGCTGTTCAACATCTATTGGTCTTGCAGGTGGGCAGGGCGGTATTATTTTGCCTACTTTATTCTCTGACAGGAAGACTAGGAGAATGAATCCAAAGTTCAGTAGTTTATTAACTGCACAGTTTAACAGGACATACACAGATAGCCGGAGCTGGCAGGGCTCAGTGGTTGGTTCCATCCCCAGTCAGAGAATATGCTTGGGTTTTGGGCTCAATCCCCAGTATGGAGCGTGCAGAAGGCAGCTGACCGATGAGTCTCTCATCGCTGATGTGTCTATCTCTCTCTCCTTCTCCCTTGCCCTCTGGGGGGGCGGGGGGAGGGGGGAGAGGGAAAGACATACACAGATGAAAGGTAAAAAGTGGACAGCTTTCTCCTTCATATTAGCACCAAGAAAAGCCTTAGGCCTGGGGTAAATTTGAGGCCTAGTGTCCAGGAGGGTCTAGGTTTTGCCCCAGGAGGACAGCTTTGCCCATGTCCAGCCTCAGACACATGGAACAGCAATGGGAGCCCTGGGGGGAAATGCACTGGAGTATTCCCCAGGGGCCTGGAGGGATGACACAACCAAATTCCGGGTTTAAAATATCGCAAGTGCCCTTTGACCCCAGTAGCATGCCTCTTCCTTTCTCCTTTATTTTTCCTTTTTTGGGGCAAAACCTTGTCGAACGGGCTGTCCTTACTCCTTTCACATGTACTGTTTTCCTCTGGCTTAGCAATGATACTGTCAGTAACTTAGCCGACAAGTATCTGTCCCTGCCTTTAGGCTATGGAACTCGATAGCCCTGTATTACCCGTTTAGTGGTTCTCAAAGTGTGGTCCCCTGACCAGAAGCATCTGCATCTTCTGGGAACTTGTCAGAAATGCAGATTCCCTGGGGAGCCCACTCCGGGGCCTGCGGGATGAGGACCTGGGGGTGTCTTCACAAGCCCTCCAGGTAATTCTGATGCACACTCACGTTTGAGAACCACTGCACTAGATTATGACAGTTTGTATTCGGAGGAAAGTTTATTTTTGTAAATTAAAATGAGCTCTGGATGTGCCCGGGGCATTTTAACCTTCTCAAAAGTGCGTTGACTCTTTTCTCTACCTGTATTATGAGCAATAGCACGTTCACGTCACCGGTAATAAAAAAAAGTTGAAGTTTGGAGAAAGGCTGTGGCTTTCTTCCCCTTGACCTATCCACACCCCATCCGAAACGTAACACCAACGGCGGGGTCGGGGGCGGAGAGGGGGTAGTCATTTTGTTCCCAGATCCTGTGGCCGAGGAAATCCCGATATCTCTGGCCTCTGGCGCCAGCAATCGCACCAGATTTGGGCACAGATCCACCCTTCCTCCTCCTGCTGGGCACAAAGCAAAACCGAAAGCGTCCCGCTAAGGTTGGACATGAGAAATGCATTTCTGAGAAATCGTTTCTGTTTCCCTTTAATCCAGGAGTTAATCTTAAAATAAAGAGTCAAGAAAGATGGGACCCTATTCGTTGCGGGGAAGAAAAACCACCAAGGGGGCACCCGGATTTGAACCAGGGACCTCTTGATCTGCAGTCAAATGCTCTACCACTGAGCTATACCCCCGCGCCGCTCTGGCTTCCGGAGATGTGTCTTTGGATGCACCGGGGGTCGGTGGCCAGAAGAAAGGAATGGAAGAGGGAAGGGGGCCAGGCCGAAAGCGGAAGGTGCCCGGACCCGGGGCACTCCGGCCAAGAGGGGAGAACTAGCCCGGGCCGCGGGGCGCTGAGCACCGGCGGGAGGCACAGACTCCGGCCCGCAAAAGCGGGAAAGACGTGCGGCGGGAAGGGAGGCCAATGCAGGCGTGGGGCACGGGGTTCCCATCCCGTCCATGGGTTCATCCCAGGTAGCGGCGGGCACAAAGGAAAGTCCCCGAATGCGGTGAATCAGTTCGGGCGCTCAGGGGTGTGCCAACCCCGCCCTCGACGGCCTCCCGCAGCCCGCGCTCCGCCACCCCGGCTCCGGGCAGGGCTGCGGGCACGGCCGGCGCTCTCCGGGGCGCCTCCATCGGGAGCACCGGGCGCCGGGAGCCCGGGGGCCTCTCCTAGGCCCGCTCCCCGCGCCCACACCCCGCCCGGAACCCGCCTCCGCGCAGCACCCCGGCTCCCGGGAGCGCGCCCGGCGCGCGCCCCCGCCCGCCCCGCCCCGCCTCCCGCCCGCCCCGCCGGGTTTATAGGGGCGGAGGGCGGAGGCGAGCCAGTTCCCCGCTCCCGCCGCCGCCGCCGCCCGTGCCGTTGCCTCCGCGGCGCCTCCCGCTTGCCCGCTCCGGGGAGAGAGCGCGCGAGCCCGGGCGTCCCCGCCCAGCCTCTCCCGGAGCCATGAACCCCAACTGCGCCCGGTGCGGCAAGATCGTGTACCCCACGGAGAAGGTGAACTGCCTGGACAAGGTGAGCCCGCGGCCGGGGGGCGCGCCCTGGCCACTGCCGCCCGAGGGCTCCCGATCGGGGGCAGCGAGAGGGGCCGGGGCCACGCCGCCTGGCCCCCGCGATCCGGGGGGAGGGAGGAGGAGGAGGAGGAGGAGGAGGGCGGTGTCAGGGGTGTGGGGGGACAGACCCCAGGTCTGGGAACCGGGGGACCCGAGGCGAGGCCAGCGGTCCACGCGTGGCGGGCTGCGGGTATCGGGGAGCGGGCTCCGTGCCCCTGGGCTGGGCGGAGGGAGAGGGGCAGGGGGAGCCAGGCCACGGGGAGGGGGCGCTGGGGGAAGGTTAGGGGTGCAGCCCCGCCCCCTAGGCCCCGGAGAGTGAGAGAGCCGGCCGCTCCCTCTCCCCGCCGCCCGGAACGCCAAGTAGGCGGAAGCGCGGGGCTCGGGGGGAGGGGGCGGCGGGCGGGGGGCGGGGCAGAGGTTGGGGGGCCCCGCGGAACCGTCCGCCGAGGCCGCGGATGGCTGGGCTTCCTGGCCCGGGGACTGGGTTTGGGGGGGCTCCGGCGGGCGAGGGTTGCATCTGGTGACCTGGGCTGCGGATGAGGAAGGACCTGAGCCCCACGGCGAGACCCCCTGTTTCGGGCGATCTGGGGTCCCCTGGGCGGTGCAGCGGCTGCTAGATCGCGGGGTTCAGGGCAGCGCCCCAGCCCCCACCCCAAACTGGAGGGCACCTCGGGGTGCGGGCCGCGCGGGGCGGGGCCGGGGCCGGCCGGGGTGGGTGGCGGGCGGGTGCTCCGCGGAGATCGCCTGAAATTGTGCTCCGAGCCCGAGACCCGGCTTGCAGAACAAAGAGCTAACTTTTCAAAGCAGGTTTACCCAGTGGAGGGTGGGGTTGGCTGGATTCAGGGGAAGGCTAGGAAAGGGGGAGGTGTTGGGGGGAGGGAAGGGTGGCCTTCTGGAAATTCACTGTCCCCTGAGGCCCTTAGGATTTCGTGTCCGTCCGTCCCCCCCCCCCCACGCTGGACTTGTTCATCTGGTTGCCATTATGCTTTCGGAGGGGGTGGGGTGGAGAGCAGAATTGGGTGTTTCCAGCAACTTGGGGAAGAAGGATCTGGTGCTCTTTTTTAGCTTCCTTAGATCCTGAGGCAAAATGTGTCTCCTCTGCACCCCCCCCACACCTTCGGTCTGGAGGAGGGGCTTTGTGATTTTTGTCCCCTTCCTCATCCGGGCCACTTCCCAAAGCTGGCTCCAAGTTCAAATACTACCCCCCCCTTTTTTTTTTTCCTTCCTGAAATGGCAGGAACGGGGGCCTGGGATGGAAGAGGAGTGCAGAGCCCCAGGGCCAAGTTCATTGCTCACCTGACGCCATGTTTGCTTGGGACAGGACAGTTCATTGGATACTTAACTCTCCCCCTTGGGGTTAGAGCCTCCTCCGTGACCTTTGGCCTCAGTCAGGGTGAAAGGGCGTGGGGTTCCAAGGTTCTGAAATATTTTTGAACTTGCTCTGGGAGGAAGGGGCCGAGGGGGCTGCTGCTGTCTCACTGTCCCTCTGGGGCTTGGCCAGACAGGAGGGAGGAGGGCCCCGATGTGGACACAAAGGATGTGGGCCCTGACCTTCCCCAGGACTGGGCCAGGCTCCGGAGGGTAGGACATGATCTTGGAGGCACCGGCTGGGGAACCATTTGTCCTTGCACACAGGCCTCTTTGCCCTCCCCTGGTGGTGGGCATTTTGGCCTCTGTAACTGGAGTTCCCTGTGCCCCCCTTCCCCACAGTCATGAACTGGCCAGAGGCTGGGGGCGCTTTTCCCATATAAGGCAGAAGCCATGTAGATGAGAGAGAGGGCTTGCCCATCCTCATTCCAGGTTTTCTCCCACCCGCTTTATGAGCTTTATGAGCGGCTCCAGGCCTCAGTGATCCGGATCTGTCCGATGGGTGCGATGATGTCATTTCCTTGGGGGAGGGGCGGGGCCCTAGAGCACCGGGAATTGGTACAGGCTGTGCAGGCTGTGCGTTCCCCGCCTTCCTGGGATACTCCCTCTAGCCCCACACCTGGCTCCTCTGGAACAGAACGTGGGTGCTGAGTGTCAGAGGGGAGGGGGGTAGGAGTCCGGTAAGGTACCCTTCCCGGTAGCTCTTCTCCCGTCCCAGCTGAAGCGGACAGTCAGGTGGGGTTGCCTTGGGAAGTGGGGATTTAAATACATTTTTATTGATTTTTAGAGAGGGGGGGGGGAATAGAGAAGTAGGAAAACATCGATGAGAGAGAAACATCCATCGTGCCTCCTGCATATCCCTCCCGGGGATCGAACCTGCAGCCTGGGCTGTGCCCTGTCCTCCAATCGAACACGGAGATCTCACCGCTGAGCCATCCCTGCCGGGCATCCCCCCTCTTTGAGAGCTTTCCCTGGAGGAGGTGGTCCCTGCACCCAGTGGGGGGCCTGGAGTATCCAGGAATCAGACCTCGTCCTCCCAACTCTCTCCAGGCAAAGGATTGGCACTTCCTACTGGGGCCCGGGTGCCCCAAGGGCTGAGACCGGCAGAACCTTTAGTCCCAGAGGCCAGGTTGCTAACCAGCTTCCCCAGGCTTCCAGTTTACAACAGGACAGAGTCAAATTAGACGCACCCCGCTCCCTATAATTTCCCTACAGCACAGTCTGACCCAAAGCACAAGATATACCCCCGGTGTTAACCTTTGTTCCTCCCGGAGCCTTATCTCCCCAAGGCTTAGGTGGGTGAAGGCCATGTTACCCCTGATGGCCCCCCGGCCCCCAACTCGCCGCACCCCGGGAGTTCTGCACGCTGGATAAGTACAGCGTTGCTGCTGACGGTGTGTGAGCCAGGAGACCGAGGCTTCCTTCCCAGAGGACTTCTGGGATTAAAGTCGAGGGAAACAGGGTGACCTCACTGGCTAGCTCACTGGGCAAATATTTATTGAGCACCTGCCTTGTGCCGGGCACTCGGAAGGGTTGCCCTTGCAAGGCCTTTGGGAAGGGAGAGAGGAGCGGTCTCTCCAAACATCCTCCTCCTTTTGAGAGGTTTGTGGGCTTGTATCCCGGACCCTGTTGGGAAGCCTTTGCATCTGGGAGCCTGTGTGGGGAAGAATCTTGCCCTGCCCCTGCCCCTGGGCTGGCTTTCTGGGCTCCTGAAAGCAGGTGAGACAGTCATTCTGGACGTGCAGAGGAGTGTGTGTGTGTGTGTGTGTGTGTGTGTGTGTGTGTGTGTGCGCCAGTTTCCCTGGATCCTCCAGTGAAGGGCTCTCTGCCTCTGGTTGTCTAAATTGCCCCCTACTCTGCCCTCTCACTTCCATAGGGGCCAGCAAGATAGGAGGAGACTGGGCCCTCACCTGTTTGGCTCAGTGGATAGAGCATTGACCTGTGGACTGAAGGGTCCCAGGTTCGATTCCGGTCCAGGGCATGTACCTGGGTTACGGTCACATTCCCAGTAGCGGGTGTGCAGGGGGCAGCTGATCGATGTTTCTAACTCTCCCTTCCTTTCTGCAAAAATCAAGAAAATATATTTTTTTTAAAAAGATGGAAGGAGACTGGGCTGGGCACACTAAAAAGATAAGTCCTTGTAGGACGGTGCCCCATTTTACCAGCTAAAGCGGAGTGGCCATCCATTCACAGTAGCTGCTACTGATCGCGAGGTGCCAGGCTCAGTCTTTGCAGCAGCTTCACACAACAGATGTGGCTGCTCCTGAAACGATGAACCCCATAAACGGAGGCTCAGACTGTGTGTGTGGTTCATTTCCCTCTCAGCCAGAGGTGGCATTCAAATCCAAGTTCTTTGTGCTCCGCTCTTTTGCCTGTTACGTTGGCAAAACAGTTCTTTATTGCTCAGCCAGTGTAGCTCAGTGGTGGAGTGTCGACCCACGAACCAGGAGGTCATGGTTTGATTGCCCGGCAGGGCATATACCCGGGTTGTGGGCTCGACACCCAGTGTGGGGCATGCAGGAGGCAGTCAATCAATGATTCTCTCTCATCATCGATGTTTCTCTCTCTCTCCCCCTCTCCCCCTCTCCCTTTCTCTCTGAAGTAAAAAAATATATATTTATTTAACAAATAAATAAATTTAACAAACTTAAAGATATATATATATATGTGTGTGTGTGTGTGTGTGTATATGTGTGTGTGTGTGTGTGTATATATATATATATATATATGCACATGCATCTTTAAGTACTTTTATTTACACTATCTCATTAGTGTCCGGACGCTGGCCCGAGGAATGTTCTGGGCCTGGGCCTTTCCAGGAGCTGGGATACTAGGAATAATCATCTCCCCTGGGAATCTGTGGAGATGCACCAAAGTCTATGACTTTAAACCTGTGCCCAGGTGACCAACTGAACCAGGTTGGTGACCCAGCCAGGGTGGAGCTGGAGTTACCCCTAGAGAAGGGAAAAGCCACTGGGGCACAGGAAAGGAGAGGAAGGTCTTACTTATCTTTGAACCCTGAGTCAGGTAGCCTGGGTGCAGAGGGCAAGATGCCAGGCTGCAGGCACAGTGACCTGAAGCTGGCCGCGTGCCCCTCACCGAGAGCCGAGAGCCGTGAGCAGCGCCTGCCCCACCTCCACCCTGATTCCAGGGAGATAGGCGCTGGTCCCAGCCTCGCCCAAGAGCGGGCGATTTCCTTCTGCCCCGCCGGCCTCCCGTGTCGCTCTGCGGAGTGGGTTTCTGTGGACGGGGCTTCGGCTTTGGAGCTGCGGGCAGGAAGGCTGGCGGGCAGGCTGAGCCGTGGGGGAAGGGTTGAGGAGCTTCGAACAGGCCTGATTTTTGTGTGAAAGGGAAACAGGGACTTGAGGACAGTGGGGAGGATTAGGGTTGCCTGCCCAGAGGTTGTACTTTGCTCCAGATCCTGAATCCCAGAGTCACTGACATCTCCCTCCTGGGGCCTTTAAGAAAGAGGGACAGGAGAAAGGCAGACCGAGAGGGTCCTTGTGGGATATTATTATTTTTAATTAAAAAAATATATTCTTTTATTGATTTCAGAAAGGAAGGGAGAGAGTTAGAGAGACAGAAACATTAATGATGAGAGAGAATCAATTGTCTGCCTCCCGCACATTCCCCACAGGGCGGGGGGGGGGGGGGGGCAGAGGGGGTGAGGATCAAGCCCGCAACCCGGACATGTGCCCTTGGCCAGAATCGAACCTGGGACCCTTTAGTCCACAGGCCGACACTCTATCCCCTGAGCCAAACCGGCCAGGGCTGTCGGGGTTTTATTGACTTATGTCCCTGACTGAGCTGGTCACCCGACCTGACTGAGGCAGGGAGGGGGTGTCCCGGTCCAGGCTGGGCCCCTGGGCTGCTGAGTGACTGGCCATAGTCCATCCTCCTTGCCCTCCACTTGCCCCCTGTGAGGAGGACACGGGGGCAGGCGCTGCTGGTTGTCCTGAGCCTGGGAGCCCTTCCCTGGGGAGGGAAGTGACCTGAGCGGCGGCTCGGAGGGCAGCTAGCTCTCGCTCGGGGCGTGAGTCATCTCTTCACTCCTCCCCCCACAGCTGTGGGACCCTGGTTTTAGTTCCACTTTACAGCTGCAGACTTTACCATGCCCCTGGAGCCACTCGGAGCACCTGTGCTTTTATTTTTCTGCTCTCGAGCCCCCGTTAGGGAACAGAGAGCATCACCCCAGACCTAGTGCACCTATCTAGCTGGAAGCAAGAGGTGTCTGGGGGGTGAGGTGGGGAAGGGCTATGGATGGGAATGGGTACCATCCCTTTATATCGGGGGTCCCCCCTTCAAATGGCAGCCGGGAGGGGTCTTGTGGAAGGAACCCCCAGCCCAGTCAGTATACCCTGCCCCTTTCCAAGGGTCTTGGCTCCTGGGTGAGATCCTAGCCATCTGCTGGGGCGGGGAGGGGGGTTCCTGTTTCCTTCCCTTTGTCTCCCCCAAATCCATCAGGAGGCAGCTTTGGAGGTCCCCAGGTTTAGGACAGTGTGTATTCCTATAGGGGTGTGTGTGTGTGTGTGTGTGTGTGAAAGTGGGTCATGGTCTGGATTCCAGAGAATATTTTTCCTGACAGGTCCCTGAGGCAGTGGGGGGAGGTAGGGGCCTGGGCAGCTGAGCAGGCGGAGGCCAGCAGGCTGGGTGGTGACAGACCCGGGCGCCCTGCCAGTGCCTCCCAGGTATGGGGGGAGGGAGAGGGGCTGCCACTGTGGGCACTGACTGGGCAGGGACTACCCTCTTTCATTATTTATTTATTTATTTCTTAAAACATACATTTTTATTGATTTCAGATAGGAAGGGAGAGAGGGATAGAAACCTCAGTGATGAGAGGGAATCATCAATTGGCTGCCTCCTGCATGCCCCCTACTGGGGATCGAGCCCGCAACCCAGCATGTGCCCTTGGCCGGAATCGATCCTGGGACCTTTCAGTCCATAGGCTGATGATGCTCTATTCACTGAGTCAAACCGGCCAGGGCAAGGACACCCCTCCTCGGTTTTTCTGGCGGGTTGTATGTGTTGGGGTTCTGCACCTGGAGTCTGGGCTGGGCTGTGGGATGGGCCTCGGCTGGGGTGGGGGCTGAGCTTAGATCAGCCACCCCTCTGCTTCCAGACCTCCGGCTGGCCTTCCCCACACAGTGGCTCTCCTGTCACTCCATTTGCTGTTGTGCCCCTGGGGATTCCTTCTGTCCCCGGACAGGGGAGCACCCTATTACCCCGGGGCCTCTGGTGGACGTGGGCCATGGAAGGGGCCCTGGAATCCCAACCTCCCAGCTTCTTCTTCCTGTCCCCTCCTCCAAGGTGTCCCAGGGAAACTGAGTGGCAGGAACACACCTTTTGAAAGGTAGTGCCTTGGGGGAAATTCCTTGGCAGACAGCCCAGAGCCAGCCCTGTGCTGGTCACCTTCACACAGCTCCCCCGGCCCTCCCCTGGCCTCTGGCCTTCCCTGAGGGCTTGGGAGTGTCTCCTGTGACTTCTGGGAAATGAGGCAGAACCAGGCCGGTCAGTCACGCAGGCCGCCTGGGCTCCGGGGTCCTAGAAGCTGGGCTCCCGGTCAGTGCGGATCCCAGGGCCATGCAAACCCGAGGTGCATGGGTTTGGCCCAGCGTCACCATTGCTGAGGAGGTCCCTCCTGTTGCCTCCTCTCCCCTCCATTGGCCTTCCCAGATTGGCCTGCGTGTGAGAGTGGGTCATGGCCTGGGCCTCTCGGCGTTGCTGGAGTCTCACCTGTCACGCACCGTCCCCCGCGGTGTAGCCGTGCCGGGCACAGCGACACCCACCTGCGCCCACACACAAAAGCTCCCGGGCGGCTCCGAGCCCCCTGGTTGCGGTTCAGAGCTGCTGTGCCCAGCATCTAACACTCGGTGCTGAGGTGCCAGGTGCCGGCCGCGGGCTGTGCAGGTGATTTCTCATCGAATCCCGGACCGTCCCCGGAGGAAGCGATCTGGAGACGGCTCAGCGTGTGGTCCCTACAAGGTCACACAGCCAGTCAGGGGGACGCTCTGGTGTCCACTGTGGGGGATCCCCTTCCAAGGCTTTTAAGCAGAGCCCTGCAGGGCCCGAGAGAGAGAGAGAGAGAGAGAGAGAGAGAGAGAGAGAGAGAGAGATATGCTGGGTGCTCTCCCGGGTGAGGGCGCGAGAGAGGGTGCAGGAGTGGTGGATAGAGCCCAAGCACCCACTCCTGCCCTCTGGTTGGGGGTCCCACAGGAAGTGGGAGGTGTCAGAGCAGGAGGCCCGGGTGTGGGCGTTGGGAATGCCTGGGGGTTCAGGGCCAGGCCCCCCTCCTCCTCCTCTCCAGGCCACGTCAGTGCTGAGGAGCTGCCCCTCCTGTTCAGCAGCCCTGGCCCAGCTTTGCAGGAGCCATGGGGCTACTCCAGCTTGGGGCAGCAGGCAGGGTCTGGGAGGTGGAGCTGACCTCTGGGGACAGCCCTTTCCCCACTCACCCTCCGCATCTGCTCTCCTCCCCATCCTTACGTGGCCAGTGACTGATTGGGGGGGGGGGGTAAAAAGGGGGAGCGTGTCCTTGGCCGCCGGAGCTGGGACTGCGATGTCCCCAGCTCGCCTTGGGGAGCCGAGCCGCCCCCTCCCGAGGCTGCGCCCCCTCCCTGAGGGCCTGTGTCTGACGGTGTCCGCCCTCTGCCTCTGTCCCCAGTTCTGGCACAAAGCATGCTTCCACTGCGAGACCTGCAAGATGACACTCAACATGAAGAACTACAAGGGCTACGAGAAGAAGCCGTACTGCAACGCGTGAGTGCCGCCTGGGGCGGGGCCGGGCGGGGCCGGGGCGGGGGGGGGGGGGGGGCGGCGGGCCCCTGGGTGGATGGACCTCTTCCTCATTCTTCCCTCGGTGAGGGGACGTGGCCGCACGCACATCCACGCTCTGTCTGGTTGGAGTCGGTCCCCACGTCAGCTTCCCCATGGCCGGGTGAAGTAAGGGCTCTCCTTCCCATTTCACAGAGGGGGAGACTGAGGCCCGGGGAAGGGAAGGGATGACGTGTCTGGAGAGAGGCTAGTTCGCCCAGTGAAATGAGTATGTTCCTCCCCCTGACCGGCCGGGAGGGTGGGGTCGGGGGGTGGGGGGGAAGCGAGCGGCCCTGGTGTCTGCCCGTCTGTGTTCTCTGCGTCTCCTTTCGGCCTCGCTCTCCTCAGAGTGGCCGCTGACTGTCTCCATCTCTGTCTGCCCCTGCCAGAGCCCGGGCACTGATTCTTTGGGGGCCCGGGCAGAGCCCTCCCTGGTGAGGCAGCAGGAAGGGGGGCCTGGCTCCGGGGGGGAGGCGGCAGAGACCCCCGCCTTCTCCGATGGTGTGGGCTCGGACTCTGCCCTCTGCGCTGGGCCCTGCAGCCTGGCCTGCTGCGGAGACTGGGGCGTAGGTAGGGCCCCTCACCCCATGCTGCTGCAGAGAATGCAGCACCTCCGTCTTCGGGGCGACCTTGTGTGCGTGACAAGTGCAAACTCTGCGGGGTCTGGGGCGCAGGCAGCCCCTCACAGCCACCCCGCCAGGTACGGTTTTAGAAGGTCATGTCGGTTCAGCAGAGTCCAGTTTTTCTTTAAGTTCCCAGCCAGAGGCTCTGCAGCGGAAGTTCACCCCGGAGGGGGACTCTGGGACTTGTCTCAGTGGCCTTGGGGTCTTGAACCCCCTTGGGAAGGCTGCCTCTCTCCCCTTTTGGCACCCCCAGTGCCCTGCTCACACCTCCTCTCATTAGGCCCGCTGCTGCCTGCTAACCTGTGCCAGGTGCTGGGAAAACAGATTTCTGATAAAAATCTCACACTCAGGATACAACACGTGTGTCCTCCCTTCTGGGAGGGCTCAGGGGCACCCCGGGGAAGGGGAAGGTCGGGGGCACCACAGGGGTAGTCGCCTGGGTCCCCCTTTCTCCCCTGGGCTGTGCCTCCTCTTCTGTTAGCTTACTCTGGCCTCTCCCCCCAGCCTCCACCCCGCCCCCCCAAGGGAAATGGGACATTCCTCGAATTCTTAAGGACTCACACAAGCCCTGATTCTCTGCCACTTCCGCCCTCTGTTGGGGAGTCGGGTGGGGTTCAGCCAAGCCAGAGGCTGGGGCAGTGTTAACCCCTCGGTGGCTGGACCACTCCCGGCTGGCGTCTGGGCACTGAGGCTCCTCTGGGGGCAGCTTCGGACCACCGCTGCTCCAGGCAGCCGCCTGGCCGAGCCCCCAGCCCCTTGGGCGTGGCAGGGCCCCAGGCTGCTCTGCAGCTCTGCCCTCTGCAGACTGCGGTAGCCTAGAATTCAGGGAGCGCTGGGAGTTGGAGAAAGAAATCAGAGGTGTGCCCTTGTTTTCTCCACACTCCCTCCCAGCTCACTGTTCTCCCTCTTCTGGGGAGGCCGCAGTGAGGGGGGGTGAGGGGCTCCTTGCATCGGTGGAGGGCGGGGAGGCCCAGGGGAGGCGGAAGACGGAGCGCCCCTCCTTGCTTGGATCCCGCTTCCAAGCTGCCTGGGCAGGTCTGTCTCCTGGCCTCCAGCCAGAGCAGCGGGTGGGCCCTCCCGTTCCCCCAGCCTTTACAGCCGGGCCCCACTGACCTTTGGCCCCGCGGGGTGTCCCCTGGGAAGGAGAAGACGTGGGGGCTCTGTGGTCCGGCTGTGTTTCGCTCGGCATGTAGCACCCGCTTGCCCGAGGCATTCGCACGCTCAGCCAGCTCCTGCCGAGCAGCGGTCTGTGCCAGCGATCCAGACAGGGAAATCCCAGGACAAGCCAGCTGCAGGCCTGGCCTGCCAGAGCTGCCTGGAGACCTGCCCGAGCCTCGGTTTCCCCAGGGCTCCAGCTTCCTACCTTCCCGGGGACCAGACCCCCAAAGGCTCCTGAGCGCCTGCTCCGTGCCAGGCCCCGTGCTGGGTGCTCACTCTCCTTCCTTCCTGTTTTCTTCCCTCCTCTGGTCCCATCCTCAGGGGCACCCCGGTTCCGGATCCTGGGGTGTCCAGGGTGCAGAGCTCTGCCCTTTGTTCTGTGGGCCAGGCCTGGCTGCCTCCTCTGCAGCGCCGCCCGCCCAGACCCGGAGAGGCAGGGGGTCTCTCCTGGCCCTTTGCCAGGGCGCCGGGGGCACCCCCCCCCCGTGAGTGAGCGTTTGGCCTCCGCGTTCCGCCCTCCGCCAGGATCTTGCAGGGGGGGATGGTCAGGAGAGGAGCAGCCTGTCTGTCTTTTCCCAGAGGCACCTCAAGACTAATTTAAGTTCTGGAGAGGGACCGCAGGCAGCAGAGAGGCCTCTTCTGTTCCTCTCCGTGCGTTAGAGAGAGGCGTGGGGGAGCGGGCAGGCTCACTGCGGGGCCGCCGGGCGGGGGCGCACCCCCGCGGACACGCAGTCACACATGTGCCTGGTGTGTGTCCAGACACACACGCTGCCGGACGTGGGGCTGGGGAGAAGAGCCGGGGAGGTCGGCCGGAGAGGACGTGTTTGTGTTCACGCTCCGCAGCCACCCCGGCTGCTGTGCTGTGGGCAGCGGAGAGGGTGAGGCCTGCTTTGGCACAGTGGCCCGCGGTGGGAAGGCCCATTCACCGAGTCCTTTCTTGGCGTGTCTAGGTGGGTGGGGAGAGTCTGCTCCGTTTTGGTCAGAGGGATCGTTATACCCTTGATGATTTGTTTTCTAAGCTACATTTACTGAAAGGTGGCAGGCCTGTCCCCACAACAAGCCTGCTGCTTTCTTTTCAGGCACCTAGTCTAGGAGTCTGGAGGCCAGGGGCAGGGGCAGGGGCAGGGGCAGGGGCAGGGGCAGGGTGGGGGGTGGGGAGAAATTGCTGTTCTTTCCTCCTCGGGGGCATGACTCATGGAGGCTGCAGACCGGAGGTGCAGTGGGGGTGAAGTTGCAGGCCGAGAGAGGAACGAGCCAGCTTTTGGGGTGTCCAGAGGGGAGTAGACATGCTGGGAGGAAAGAGGGGTGCTCCGCTGGGTCCTCCCCTCCTCATGGACTGCCCATCCTTCAGTGTCCGTGAGCTGTGGGGGAGGGGCTGCGCAGGGTGCAGATGTGTCTGGTTCTGGGGAGCGAGGGGCTGTGGTCCTGGTCCTTCCACCAGGCCTCAGGGAGGGGGCGGGCCTGTGCTGAGGGAAGGGGGCAGTAGCGGGCAGATCCAGGTCTGTGGCGTGGGGCTTCCCCATCTCCCCAGAAGTTTATGCCTCTGACTGAGCAAAATGGGGTCCGGTAGCCAGGTTAGCGCCGGGCGTGGGGAGGGTTTGTGTGGTGCGTGCTTGGGACAGGGAGATACTCGCAAAGGGGCATCCACGGTGGCCAAATGCAGCTCCAGACAGCCCCGGCCCCTCACTCTCACCCCCAAATCCTTGCGCTCAGAGACGTGCCGGCCTCCAGGAAGCTCAGGGTCCCTCCTGCTCCCATTTTATGGATGAGGAAGCCAAGGCCCTGTGTTTCCAACCCCTGGCCAACTTGGCAGAATCAGTCCTTTCTCTGTGTTGCTGGCTTTGATACTACCCTGTGTCTCCTGCCCCCGAGGGCCAGTAAGTTCTTCTTCCCGTCTAGCCTTGATCTTCTTGGCTGCTTTCCCCCCCCCTCTGGTCAGACAATGCCTCCTTGTTGCTTCCTATCCCCACCACGTCAGCCCCGAGGCCTGGGGGACGGGTGAGAAACTGGGTTAGGGGGAGCCCTCCCTGCCGCCCTGGGCAGGGTTCCCAGCTGGGGCTCAGGGCTCCTTCCAGAGGCAGGATGTCGGGGCTGGTGTTTCTCCCCCTCCCTCCTTTTGGTGAAACCAAAGGCCCCTTGTTGCTTTTTGTTGGTGTATTTTTGTTCCTCTTTGAACAAAAAGCTATGGTTTTGAATGAGTCTGAGGCTGGAAGAGGCGAGGGTGCGTGCAGAAGGGGGCGCGGGACTGTGTCCGCTTCCCCTCTGCAACGCGGCTCCTGGCGGGCCTGGGCGCGAGGCTGGGCCCTGCGAACGGTCCCTGTCCCCAGGAGGCCCCTCGCCGGAGCCCAGCCTCCTCTCAGCATCCTCCCTGCCGTCGCCGGTGGCTCAGAGGCCCTCAGGCATAACCCCTCTCTGGGGTCAGGCCCCTGGTCCTGCATCCCTGCCGGTCATTGTTCGGACTTCAGACACCCTCTTTTTTTATTTTTAATATATTTTACTGGTTTTTTACAGAGAGGAAGAGAGAGGGATAGAGAGTTAGAAACATCGATGAGAGAGAATCATCGATCCGCTGCCTCTTGCACACCCCCTACTGGGAATGTGCCCGCAACCAAGGTACATGCCCTTGACCGGAATCGAACTTGGGACCCTTTAGTCTGCAGGCCGACGCTCGATCCACTGAGCCAAACCGGTTTTGGCAAGACACCCTCTTTAGAAAAGGAGAAGGTGGCTTCTGACGGGTGGTGACCCAGACACCCCATTGAAAGATGAATTCCTTTGTCCTCCACCCGTCCTGCCAAGCACGTCTCTCCCCAAGGCCCGAGAGCTGGGCCTGGACGGGTCCCCCTGAGAGAGCTGTCCGCGGGCCCTGAGCCGGCTGGGTGGCCATGGTGGAGGGGAGAGTGCACTGGGCCGTGCTCCTGGACACGCAGCCTCCGTTTCTCTCCCTGTGGAATGGACACATGGATCACACGGACGTGTCCAGCCCGTGGCCTTGGGGCAGATTTCCAGAGGGCATGTGCTCGGGACCCTGTCCATCCAGAAATCGCTTCGTGTGCCTGGAAGTTCTCTTGGAGGCTTAGCTGCCTGATTTCCCTGCCCCGTCCCTGTGCTTGCCCTCCTGGATGCAAGATCCCGTCCCCTGCCCCCCAGACTCCCTGTCCCTGAGCCCCTCCCTCCGAGCAGCATGGAGCTGGCCACGGGGGGACAAAGAGTGGCTGTGCTCTGGACCCGCTCCGGGCCGGGTGAGGACGCCTGGCTCTCCCCATGCTGGCCCCTGTTCCCTCGCCCCGGCCCCGGCTGGCGGTGGGCTGGGGTTCCGGGGGGTCACTCGCTGGGGCGGGGCCCCTCTCTCTGCCTTGGTGCCCACAGAGGCGCACACACATCCATTCATCTCGCCTGGGATGTGCGGGGGCGGGTGGGCAGAGCTTCCACCTGAGGACGGGAGGGAGGGAGAAACGTTCCCAGCAACTGCTTCTGGAAGGAGGTCAGAGGAGCCCTGTCCAGGGCAGTCATGCCTGCGGGGGCAGGGGCAGCGCTGCTGGGGCCGGGTCCACCCTCAGAAGACGGACGGATGCCTGGCTCCTGTCCTCCTCGCCTCGCTGTCCGCCGGACCCTCCAGAGGCATCTCCCGGCCCTGTCCTCCGTCCTCGCAGTGAGGACACCCGGCTGCCCGTCTCCTCCCCACCCCCACCGACCGGCTCTCCCGCTCTCCTGCCTGGAGCTGAGGATGAGGTTGCCATGGGAACCTGAAGCGCAGTGAGCAGGGGAAGGGGAAGGCAGGGCTGTCAGGCCAGGGCTGGGGCTGCGGGGAGGGGACAGGGCTGACCCAGGGTGGGGAGGAGAGCCCGGACTGCACGCCTGTCCACCCCCCACCCCCGCCCCGGCCTGGGGGTGGTGTGGGAGGCGGGGGTAAGAGACAGAGGCTCTGCACTCCTCTTATGTCCAGCTCATCTGGTGCAGGATGACAATCCCTCCCCTGCCCTCCCCTCCCCTCCCCTCCCCCGGCCACAGGAAGCCGAGACCACGTCTGTCTAGGCTGGGCACCCCTTCCCCTCCCATGGGGTTAGCTCCTGGCTTTGGGAGGTCTGACATCTGGGGGTCATATGACTCCAAAGAGGGAATGAAACACCCGCCAACCCCAACCCCACCCACAGGTTTTTGCTGCATGGCGGGGGCGGTGGGGGGGAGCGGCGGCTCCTGAGGCCCTGGTGGAGGGCAGGGTAGGAGGTGTGAGTGTGGCCTCAGTGCGTCCTGTCCCGGGTGGACCTGCTGGCCCCCATGTCCAGGAGACGGGGTCAGGCTCCTCCATTTGTTTGTGGTGGGTGGGGTGCGTGTCAGGTGCGTGTCAGGTACACGGGTCTAGCTGTCCTTGGGCCCCTGGAGCCCGCACTCCGCTCTAACCGTGCACACACAGGCAAACGGGAAACCCCGGGTTTGCAGACGGGCCCAGTGCACACGTGTTTGCCTTTGGCTGCTCGCTCCCCTTCCCACCAAACGCTGCCCAGTGCCACCGTCTCGGGGTTAACCCTCCGCGGGGTGGGCCAGTGCCCCCCTGGGGTCTCCCCACTCCGCCACCGGAGTCTGTCCTTACGGATGCTCTCCTCACCGCCCCCCTCCCCCGGGCTCTTCCCCTGCTGGGAGGGTCATCTCTGAAACTCCCCCTGAGGCCCCCAGGGCCAGCTGGTTCTGCTGGAGAGCCGACTGGCCCCCCCCCCCCCCCCCCCCGCCGTCCTCTGCCGAGCCTCTGGGCACGGGTCCCCAGGCCCTCCCTCCCCGGGGCCGCGCAGGAATTTTGATGGCGTCCTCGGCTGTGGGTGGCCCTGGCTTCGTGGCACCGGGCCAAGCCCGGCGACTGGACCCACAGCCGCGGCCCCACACTCGCCCGCAGGCCGTGCCAGCTGCAGGCACCTGTGTTTACCCTCCGTCTCCTCCCTTTCCTCCCTCCGCGGGGCAGCTGCGGCCCGGCCGACCGGGAGGCCTGGGGCTGGGACCCGGCTTGGACCACGTAGGTCCACGGTGGTGAAACAAGGACTTGCCAGTCCCCCCAGCGAGGCCGTGGCTCTGGTTCAGGGAGGGGCGGCAGCTGGAGAGCTGCGGGTTTGGTGAGGACACGGGGCTGGAGGGTGCTCAGGCCCAGCTCCAGGGCGTGCCGGCCTACGGGGTGGAACACGCCTGCCAGGGGGCCATCCTCTTCCCGGGGGCAGGAATCCGGGACCTGCCTGCGGGCGGCACAGCTGTGCCGGGTGTGGCCACCGGGGCTGAAACGGCCCATCTCAGCTTCTGCTGGGAGAAGCCACCGCCATTCCCTGAAGTCGTTGGGGCCCCTGCGGATCCCCACCGGCTTCACATTCCGGCGCTTCACACACACCACCGGCCCGGACTGCCTCCCCTCCGCTGGTGCGCTGGGGCTTTGTGAGGCCCCGGGGCCACAGTCGGCAAACTGCTCTTTGGCCCCTTGAGCGAGGCTCTTCCACAAAATACCACGGCCTGGGAGAGTCTATTAAAAAAAAAAAAAAAAAAAAAAAAAAAAATATATATATATATATATATATATATATATATATATATAAAATTGATTTTTTTACAGAGAGGAAGGGAGAGGGATAGAGACTTAGGAACATTGATGAGAGAGAAACATCGATCCGCTGCCTCCTGCACACCCCCACACTAGGGATGTGCCCGCAACCAAGGTGCATGCCCTTGACCGGTACCAAACCTGGGACCCTTCAGTCCGCAGGCCGACGCTCTATCCGCTGAGCCAAACCGGTTTCGGCTGGGTGAGTCTATTTTGAAGAAGTGGCGTCAGAAGAAGTTTTTAAAAAATTTAAATTTCTCTCAAAAGAAATCTCCATCGTTGTCCTATTGATATTTGGCTCTGTGGACTAGTGAGTTTGGCCTCGTGGGATGTAGGAGACCCGAGTTCTCGTCACGGCCCAGTTTCGGTGCTTGGTGTGGTGTTGGTTTACTCAACAAGTATTTGTTGGGGACCAGGTACTATTCTAGGAGCTTGGGGCCGTCAATGACCAAAAGAGATAAAAACCCACCCCCTTGCCTCACAGAAGTGGTGGAGGGAGGAGACAATAGCGGATGTGATAAGGAAGTTCATTATCAGGTCACCTCAGTGCCCTGTGTCCCCCGGGAGAGGAGGGGCTGGGCCGGTGGTCTGAGAGGCTCCTGCAGACCGGCTGCCAGGGCTTCCCCGGCTCCTGCCCCCTCCACGCCAGCCCTCTCTTTCTGGGGGACGGGCCTCCGGTCTGTCTGGTGCCTGGAGAGTGGAGGGTTTGGCTCAGCGTGCTGGGTCCGGGGCAGAGTGTCCGGGTGCCAATCGGGAGCCCAGCCTTGTGCCTTGTGCTACATTCTCCATCCTTTCTGAGCCTCAGTGCAGCCGTCTGTCCAGGGGGGGACAGCAGGGTGCGTGTTGGAATTGGGTGAATGGAGGCACGCATGCTTCTAGCACAGGCGAGCGTGGGCCGTGGTGGCAGTGTTATCTGTCACCCCAGGGTGGCCTCCTTTCTGGCATCAGGCTGACCTCTCACCTGTACTCCCTTAAGTTGGCCCTTGTTGGCCACTCCGGATGTGTGCACCTTCTCTCTCTCCCTGCCTCTTCCTCCTCCTCCTTCTCCAGGAAGCCCTCCTGGATATGCACATCCCTTTCCCCTTCATTTCTGGCTCTGTATCCCTCCTGGCCTTCCTCTCCTTCGTTGGCCTCCATTTCTGGTTTTAGCTGAAAGCTTCGTCCTGACCCCATCCTTATCTTCGCCCCGTGCTGGCCCAGCGCCCTTGACGTCCCTGGTTGGTAGACTCCTAAGGCATGGGTTATCCCCAAACAAGGGTGATCTGGAACCCTCAGGGTGCCCCTGTGGCCTCCCTTTGGCTCAGGACCGTTCTCCACGGCCCACCGGCCACTCGAGCCCGTTGTGTCTCCCAGGTCAGCGCAGGCTGGGTCTGAGCGCCTCTGCCTGGCGGCGGACACTGGGCCTGCCCGGGGGCAGAGGCCGGGGCGGGAGAGAGTCGGGTCTGTGAGCAGCCCAGAGGCTCCCGCCCTGCCCCCAGAGTGACCTCCGCTTGTTCCTTCCTGTCCTGCAGACACTACCCCAAGCAGTCCTTCACCATGGTGGCCGACACCCCTGAGAACCTCCGCCTCAAGCAACAGAGCGAGCTCCAGAGCCAGGTGAGGGGCGGGCGGGGCCGGGCCGGGGCCTGGGGGAGAGCGGGTGACGGGGGGAGGCTGTCGCAACCCCCGTGTTTGGCAAGGGCTCCTTCCCCTCGGGTTCCTCAGCGAGGCCAAGGGCCCGTCTCCCTGCCCCCAGCGCTGCACCCAGTTACTTCACATTTCCTGGCTGATCAAAGGAGGGGGAGAGCCTGCCCCCCCTCACCTAACGTGGGTTATTGGGGTGTCGGTGTCTGAGTCTTTCTGCTCTGGGGAATTTCACGTGGGGCCCCGAAGCCCCCCTCCTCTAGGCAGCTGCTCCCCTCATCCTCCTCCCCACTCACCCCCACCCACAAAGGGGGAACGCACCCCCCTGGGCTCGTGCCAGCCTGAGAGGACGCAGCCCAGCCTCTGCAGCCATGTCCCAAGGATCCTCTCTCATCAATCGTGTTTCCGTCTCTCTCCCTCTCCCTTCCTGTCTGAAATCAGTAAAAATATATAAAAAATATATCACTAAAAATATATAAAAAATATATCACTAAAAATATATCACTAAAAGAGAGAGAGAGAGAGAGAGAGAGAGAGACAGCCAGAACCCTGAGGAACCCGGGGGGGGGGGGGGCGCGGGAGAGGCGCCGGCCAGAGGTGTGTGAGTGTGTGTGTGTGTGTCTGTGTGTGTGTGTGTGTGGGTGTGTGTGGGTGTGGGTGTGTGTATCTGTGTGTGTGTATGTGTGTGTATGTCTATGTGTGTGTGTGTGGGTGGGTGTGGGTGTGGGTGTGTGTATCTCTGTGTGTGTGTATGTGTGTGTGGGTGTGTCTGTGTGTGTCTGTGTGTGGGTGTGGGTGTGTCGGTGTGTGTGTGTGTCTGTGTGTGGGTGTGTATGTGGGTGTGTGTGGGTGTGTGTATCTGTGTGTGAGTGTGTGTGTGTGTGTGTGAGTGTGTGTGTGTGTCTGTGTGTGTGTCTGTGTGTGTGTGTGTGTGTCTGTGTGTGGGGGTGTGTGTGGGGGTGTGTGTGTGGATGTGTGTGTGTGTGTGTGAGTGTGTGTGTCTGTGTGTGGGTGTGTGTGTCTGTGTCTGTGTGTGTGTGTCTGTGTGTGTGTGTCTGTGTGTGGGTGTGTATGTGTGTGTGTGTGTGTGGCTGTGTGTGTGTCTGTGTGTGAGTGTGTGTGTGTCTGTGTGTGAGTGTGTGTGTCTGTGTGTGTGGGTGTGTGTGTCTGTGTATGGGTGTGTGTGTGTGTCTGTGTGTGGGTGTGTGTCTGTGTGTGTGTGTCTCTGTGTGTGTGTGTGTCTGTGTGTGTGTGTGTGTGTGTGTCTGTGTGTGTGTGTCTGTGTGTGTGTGTGTCTGTGTGTGTGTGGTGTGAGTGTGTGTGTGTGTGTGTGTGTGTGGTGTGAGTGTGTGTGTGTGTGTGTGTGTCTGTGTGTGGGTGTGAGTGTGTGTGTGTGTGTGTGTGTGTGTGTGTCTGTGTGTGGGTGTGTGTGGGTGTGTGTGCACACTCAAGCGGAGGCAGGGGAGACACACACCTCCACACTCTCAGGAGGGGGAATTCACACCGCACTCATCCCCCAGCCTTTGTTGGCCTCACAGAAAGCTTGGCTACGGAGCTTTTTTTTTTCTGTCCCTGGAATCCAATCCCCGAGGGGAACCCCGTGCTCCCCAGAGGCCCCCCTGAGTCATCTGGGCTCCGGGCCTCCTGACTCTCGGGCAGGCTGGGGCAATCATGAGAACCGCCCTCACTCTGCGGTGGGTCCTCCCTGAGAGCCAGGCCCTGACCTCTGATCCTCACCACCAGCTGGTGGAGGGACTCCTGCCGTCCCCATTGTACAGATGGGAACACTGAGGTCTGGAGAGGCCGTGTTACTTGCCCAGACTCAGATTTCAAGCCCTTTGCGCAGGGCAGTGCCGTAGCCTGCTGTGGCCCCAGCCCCGTGCTCTCAGCCCGCAGGACACAGCAGAAGGGACTGGGGTCTTGTTGGATGCACCCAAGGGGCTGGATGGGGCCAGGAATCTGTGTTTTGGCCGCTCTGGTGCTTCAGGTGAAAGCTTTTGGTCTCACAGACAATTTGAGAGGCTTAGAGCTGGGCTGGGGATCAGGTGGAGCGGAGGGACCTGAGCTCACCCTCTCTCTGCTGTGAGGGCGGGCGGGAGCCCTGGGCATTGGGAGCACAGCTCTGACCTATAGAGGGGCTGGGGCTGGGGAGGCCGAGGGTGGAGAAAGGCCCCGCCCTCTTTGGAGAAAGGCCCTCCCCTTCCCCCAGCTGTGTGGTGGGAGCTGGCTGCTGCCTCCCCTGTTTTGTTTTTTTCTTTCCTGGTAAAATGGGGACAGCAAGCCCCAGTTGCCTGCAGGTCGGGGCTGGGCCCGCTGCTCTGGGGCTGGAAGGGCTGAGCTGGCCTGGCCGGGGTGACGGTCTGGTTCCTGTGGCCGCGGTGGGGGCGGGGCCTGCGCTGGCCGCTGCGTCTGGCGGGAAGGGAAGTGGGCGCCTCTGCCCCACCCCACGGGGCATCAGCTGGGCTCTCTCCGGGCCCTTCCTGGGCTGGCACCTGAGCGTCTCAGCCCTCCCCTGTCTCCAGGAAGCTGCCTGCGCTATTTCGACTCTGTTTCCCCGTCTCCAGATCGGCTCCCCAGATGGCTCTTTGGGTGCCTGGACACCTGGAGCCTTCCCTGCGGGGGGAGGAGCCACAGAGCCGGCCGGAAATGGCCCTCTGGGTGGTCCAGGCAGGCGGGGCGGAGGCAGGAGCTGGCAGCTCTCCCACCACCCACCCCAGGCTGAAGGGAGGCAGCATCTTTGGGGTGGAGCTGACTTGGGGGGTGTCTGTGTGGCCCCTGAGCCCAGGCAGAAGTGCAAAGAGGTCTCTCATTTCCCCCTCACTGTCATACCTCCAGGGTGCAGTACAGCCTGGGACTGGCCCAGGGGGACAGGAGCGCCCAGGCCTGCCCTGGAGCACGGTCCCCACTCCCTTCTTTTGGGTCTAGTGGCCTCACATAGCATATCTGTGTCCTGAGCCGATGGCCAGAGGTGAAATCCCGGATGGATGTCCCTCTATTAGCTACGGTGACCCTGGGCAAGTAAAGACTTCCAGCCTGAGTGCCTCATCTGTAAAATGGGGCTTAGTGGTCTCTCTCCAGAGGTTGCTGTGAGGATGCTGGTCTACAGCAGGCATCTGGAACAGTTTCTGGTATACAGTCAGCGCTCAGTAGCTGTTTGCATCCCTATTGTCCTGGGGAGGAGAGGGAATGGAACTCGGGCGTGATGCGTCCGAGGCACAGACAGTGACCTGCTGACTGCCCCCAGCACCGACCTTTCTCACCAGGTCTCCCCCCCTTCGGGTGTGTCCCATCTCAAACCTGACTTTTTTATTTTTTAATGTATTTTATTGATTTTTCACAGAGAGGAAGGGAGACGGATAGAGAGCTAGACACATCAATGAGAGAGATACATTGATCAGCTGCCTCCTGCACTCCCCTCACCGGGGCTGTGCCCACAACCAAGGCACACGCCCTTGACTGGAATCAAACCTGGGACCCTTCAGTCCACAGGCCGACGCTCTATCCACTGAGCCAAACCGGTTTCAGCAGCTAACTCGCCTCTGGAGAGGGGACTGACTTGCCCAGGGACACGCAGCAGAGGGGTGCTGAGCCCCGGCCCCGCCTTTTCTCGGCGTGGACGTCCCATCTGCCCCCCTGTGCCAGGAGTCAATGAGTTACCCCTCCCCGGCGGGGCGGTGAGGCAGCTCCCGGGCCTGGGAACTCGCTGATGTCACCACAGTGTCGCCATGGCAATGACTCCCCTGGACGAGGGGCCTGGGCCGGGCCGGGCCGGCCGGCCAGGAAGTAGAGGAAGGAGTGGGGAACTGGCATTGACAAAGCGCTTTCACAACCGCCCTTATCGGCGTGTGGCGGCCCACCGCGCCTCCGCCGTGTGTTGGCGGCTGTGGAGCAACTGTCTGCCATCTGCACCCCGGATCCGGGCGGGCGGTGTTATTGTCCCCTTTCACAGATTTGTAAACCGAGGCCCAAAAGGTTACGTCATTTGCCCAAGGCCACTTGGCAGATGGAGACGGAGCCTGTGCTGATTCTGGCTCCCTCTGGCACTTTGCCTGGGGGGTAGGAAACACACACACACACACACACACACACACACACCCTGTCCCCCGACTCCCCAGGATTCCTAGGAAAACCCTTTTACAGGCGAGGAAACCAAAGCCAGGGGCCTTGCGTTTGGGGCTTCTGTATCCAGAGCTGCATTGTCTGGCTCTCAGTGCCTTACCCGCCCTGCTGCCCCCTTCTCAGAGGGTTCCCCTCTCCACCCCCACTGAGAGGCGCCATGCTGGCCCAGATCTTCCCGGTGGGCTGAGGCTGGCAGCTCTGGGCCCGTGGGCTGGGCTGGTACCTTTGTCGTTGCTCTGCCCCTGCCTTTGTTTTCGGTCTGGATGGAAACAAAGGGATTTCTGGGACCTTTTGGGAAGAAGCCCGTGGATGGATGAGCTGGGGCGCCCAGGGGCAAACCAGGACGCCTGACCTGGGGGGTGGGGGGCGGAGGAGCAGCGTACAGAGGAACTGACAGGTGTGGCCGTGGCTGCAAACATGTGTGTGGTCGGCTGGGTCCCAGTGCAGCTCGGCTCGGTGGCCTGATGATCCCATGCCTGGGAGCTGCCTGGGCTCGTCACCCTGGAAACGGCCCGGGTCCTGGGCCCTGTGTCCCCGGCTGACCTTCCAGGACAGGGCAGGCCCGGGGAGGAAGTCCGGGCAGCTGGTGGGGTTCGGAGCAGCTGGCTGCCGAGGGGCACAGGGAAGTCCCTGGACGCCGAGGAGCAGTGCCCTGGGCATTGCCAGCCTCCATCCTGCTCTTCAGAGCCCCCAGGGAGGACACAGGACGCCTTGTTATTGTTTTAATGCCGTGGGCGTCCGGGAAGTCCTCTCTGCTGTCTGACCTGAGTCCCTCTCTCGGGGGGTCCGTGGGATTCTCAGAAGAGGGGGGAGTGGAGGGTGGCGGGGCTCTTCCCCAGAGCCTGGCGCCCTGTGGTGAGGTGCTGTCTGTCCCCTGACAACTCCATCTTCCCCTGCGGCGCTGACCTCAGGGCCGGCTCCCGGGAGCCGCCAGAGCCTCTCAAAGGCTCATTGATGAGTCTTCCGGGTGGCTGGCTCCCTGCCCTCCTTTCCGGACACCGACTCTGCCCCTTGGCACAGCCCTCACTTCATGGGTCACTCAAACACTCCCCGGCTCTCGGCGGGGCAGGGCCGTCCTGGCGAGGGCGGGGGCGGGCAGGCCGGGAGCTGCGGGAGGAGCCTTCTTCCCATAGCCCTCTGGCAGGATGGGCGGGCGGCGACCGGTCCGGAGTCCGGGGGCTGAGGCTTTGTTTGCATTTGGTGGCTCTGGACTTCTGCTGCTGAGCTGTGTGACTTTGGGCATGGACTGTGTGTCCCTGTGGGTCAGCTTCCTTACTTAAAACGGAGCTAATAGCCCTGGCCAGTGTTTCTCAGTGGTTAGAACATCACCCATGCACTTTTTTTTTTTTTTAAATATATTTTATTGATTTTTTACAGAGAGGAAGGGAGAGAGATACAGAGCTAGAAACGTCAATGAGAGAGAAACATGGACCAGCTGCCTCTTGCACACCCCCTACTGGGGATGTGCCCGCAACCAAGGTACATGCCCTTGACCGACCGGAATGGAACCTGGGACCTTTCCGTCCGCAGACCGACGCTCTACTGCTGAGCCAAACCGGTTTTGGCTCGCCCATGCACTGTAGCATGGATTGGTGGTTTGATTCCCGGTCGAGGGCATGTGCCTGGGTACTGCAAACCACCACCTGGAACACATGTCTCTCACATCCACGTTTCTCTCTCCTTCCCTCCCTCCCATTCCTTCTCTCCCTTTGCTCTCTAAAAGTCAATGGAAAAAAAATATCCTCGGGTGAGGATTAACAACAGCAACAAAAATGGAGCTAATAATAGTATATGCTGAGATTTAAGGGAGGCAGTTCGTGGAAGGCACTTGGCACTCAGAATGCACTGAATATGTATTGACGGGTTATCGTTCTTATTTTAACCTTTTTTTAGTTAAGACTCTGCTTTGAGTTGGGAAGTGGGCAGGGATGTCACTCCAGGGGGGTTCTGGTCCGGATCTCCCTCTGAGCTGGTTGCCAGCTCAGGTGGCCACAGGCTGGCCCCTTTCTGCCCCCCACCCCCACCCCGGAACTTGACGCCAGCCCCTCTCCCGTCTGGCCTGCAGGTGCGCTACAAGGAGGAGTTCGAGAAGAACAAGGGCAAGGGCTTCAGCGTGGTGGCCGACACCCCGGAGCTCCAGCGGATCAAGAAGACCCAGGACCAGATCAGTAACGTAAGCATCCTGCCCCTGCCCCCGCCCCGTGGGGCACACCGCCCGCCGCCCCTCCACGGCCGTGCCCCTCCCGGCGGGCAGACAGACGCGGGCCCTTGGGCGGGCCTGCTGGCGGCTGCTGGACCAGAGGGAGAGGAAGGGAAGGGTTTGGGGTACAGAGACCTTTTCTCTGTGTCCCCCAGACTCTCCCTCTGCCCACAGGGCAGAAATGGACGATACTTGGAGGCCTGTGTTTAGCTCAGTCACGCCCTCTCTGTGGGTTTTTCCTGGCCGGTAGGTGTTAGGGTCCAGAGTGGCTGCTTTGTCTGAGCACAAAGGTCAGGACTTCAGAGCAGGGTGGCAGGGCGGGGAGGGGCCGGCCTCCTGTCTGCCTTTGGGTGCTGACATTGCAGTCATTTCCGCTCGCCCTTCGCTTCCTCCCCCACCGCGGCTTGCTCTTCCTTCCTGTGTAAAAACCCCAGCCAGCAGCCTGTGGCCCTGCACCCCGGCCCGGCCCTCCTGGGCCCAGGACGGTCAGCAGTCTGTGCTGTGGCCGGGCGGGGAGTGGAGAGTGGGCGGAGGATGGCCGGGCCCCCTGGGGCCTGCGGCCAGGGACCAGGCCTTCGCTTCCTGCGTGGCTGAGCCGTCGACCCGCAGCCTGTGCGGCTTAGGGCTGTGGGGAGGCCGTCTCGGGGGCTTCGGGCCTGTGGGGTTGGGACACACTTGGGATCGGGGTGCAGCCCTGTGCACGGGGCGTTGGGGCACAGAGCTGCAGGAAGTGCCCGGTCCGCTGGGCAGGCGATCCTGCACATGAAGGACTGGGCAGGTGGCTGTCTGCCTGTCTGGAGCGGGCAGGGGTCGGCTGTGTCCCTCTGGGCTGAGGGGCTGGAGCTAGAGGCAGTGGAGGACCTGGGTGTCAGGCAGCCCCGCCGGCACCCAGCCCTGGGCTCCATCCCTCTCCCCGGCCGCGCTGTCAGGACGCGCTCAGAGCTCGGCTGGGCTCCGGCAGGGGCTCAGGTGGCTTCCAGGAGCCGGGGCCCGCGCCTCGGGGAATAGTCGTACCCATGACCCCGGCTTGCAAACTCCGACTGCTAACTACGCCTGGAACACATCTCACACCGCGACCCCTTCCCCACACCGGCCTGCTTGTTTATTTAGAGGGAAAACAGAATCGACACGTTCATGAGAGAGTCCTCGCTGCGGGGGGCGCTCCGGTATTTTCTGTTATATTTTGTAAAGATGCCAGTGGCAGGCTTCACTGAATGGGTTCCGCACTTGGTCGTTGACCTGCATTGGAAGTTGGAGGCTTCGGGGGAAGGAGGGTCTCCTTGGGCGAGGAAGGCGTGCCTCCCGGGGCCCGAAGCCCATGTCCTCCCCCCAGAAAATCTGTTTCAGGTGCTTCTTACTCATTAGGGCCGGGCCAGAGGTAAAGAAGAGGGAAAGAGCGCACCAGGGGAGAGCAGGAGGGAGGTGTGAGGGGGGATAACGGGGAAGAGAAGAGCAGGGATGGCTCACCAAGCTGGGATCTTTTTTTTTTTTTTTAATGATAAATTTTTTCTTATATGTTCTTTTCTTTTAAAATACATTTTTATTGATTTTTGAGAGGAAGTTCGAAGGAGAGAGAAACATCAATAATGAGAGAGGCTCATTGATTGGTTGGCTGCCTCCTGCACGCCCATCGTGTGGGGATGGAGCCCGCAACCGGGCAAGTGCCCTGAATGGGAATCGAACCCTGAGCTCCTGCATAGGTTGACGCTCAACTCCTGAGCCACGCCGCCAGGCAAAGCTGGAATCTTAACTTTTTTTTTTTTTTTTTTCCTTTTTAATATATCTTTATGGATTTCAGAGAAGAAGGGAGAGGGAAAGAGTTAGAAACTTCGGTGGTGAGAGAGAATCTGGTTGGCTGCCTCCTGCGTGTCCCCTACTGGGGATCAAGCCCACAACCCAGGCATGTGCCCTTGGGACCAGCTAGGGCTGGAATCTTGACTCTTAAGCCTCTGGCTGTTCATTGGGAAGACTCTTGTCCCCTGCCTCTAACCCTAATCTCCAAATACCTCCTTCACTCATTGCTTCTAGCCTGTGGGTTTGAGCCAGGTGTGTGTGTGTGTGTGTGTGAGTGTGTGGTGGAGGGGTGGGTGATGACAAGCAAGCCCAGTCATTTCTGCCTCCCTTTCTGGAAGGCTTCCAGAATATTCCACATCCAGACTATGGTACCCGCTCTTCTTCCCTCCCCCACTCACCCGTTCTTAGAGGTGTTACTGCCCCCGGAGTCCGGTAATAGAACTCACTGCGGCCAGGACATTCACACCTAAGCAGATAGCGATCTTATCATTAACCACGGGCTGCAATTAGCTGATTGTCCCCTGCTCGGAGGGGAGGTGAAGTGAGCCTGACCTGGTTCCGCCTTTGCAGCGTTAGCAGCCGCGTGTGTGCGCGTGTGAGCTGTGGCCACTAGCTGGAAGGCTTGGTGTTGGTGAATGCAATCACAGTCTGTCAAATGTGGCCTCCCACCAACCAATCTAGAATCACCTGGGAAGGTTTCTTGAAAATGCAGCTCGCAGCCCTCCTCCTCAGTCTGCCTGAATCAGCCTGTAGGGGTGGGACCCAGGGACCAGCGTTTAAGAAAATCCTTTCTGGAAGATTTTTTTCCCCCCCATTGATTTTTGGAGAGGGAGAGAGAGAGGGGGAAAAAACATGTTGATGTGAAAGAGACACATCGATGGGTTGCCTCCCAAACATACCCCACCACGCTGTGAGCTCCGCCAGGGAGCGGCATTGGCGGGAAATTAAGGATCTGACGTTAGGACTGGATTCTGACTCACCCACCGTTGAACCATCTCTTGAGCCTTGGCTCCTCATCTGTAAAGCGGGGACGATAAAACACATTTTTTTTTTCTTGGGCTGGCTGAGAAAGGAGGGCGAATAAAGCATCTAAGGACACAAACTAGGCCCTCAACCAACGGGAGGTGCTGCAAAAATAGGCCCTGGCTGGTGAGCGGATTGTTCCGTTCAGAGCCCGATGCTCCCTGGCTGCCGTGATGCAGAGTCATGTGAGGGCAACGCGTGGAGTCAGACCTTCGGTTTTCCCCGCAATCGGGAGAGCAGGGGGCTCTGAACAAACCCCAAACATCGCCTCGCAGAGAAAGTGTCTCTTCTTGAGTTTTGGGATGGACCCTCCATTAGTCATCCTGCCGACCTGGCTCGCGGGCCTGGTCAGTAGGCCCGGGTCCTCCACCCACGCTCATTTGAATGCCGTGGGCACAGTCAAAGCCTGGGGTCTTTCCATGGGGGCCCCGGGCGGTTCCTAAACTGGGGCTCTGCTGGCGTTCCCGGACTTAAGGGGTTTCCATTTGGGGCTCTTAGAAGATCAGCACTTTGCTGAGCTTGGAGCAGCGTCGACCAGCCCCTGGGAGTCTGGTAAATGTCTCTCTTCCTTTCGGATGTGCGAGCACCCTTTCGTGTGCCTATTTGATTCTCATACCATTAGGTTGGTCAGCAAAATAGCGAGCCTGTCTCCTCGTTTGCCGGGGAGGGAAGAGAGGGGGCTGAGAGCACTGGCCTGTTTCCCGGGGGGCCCAGGCACAGGGGAGCTGCGGCCTCGCTCTGCTCGCCCGTCCCTCCTCCGTGCCGCCTCTCCCGAGTTTGCCTGCCTGCTGCTCTCTTCTCCTCCCCCTCAGGGATAGACTCGGCCTATTCTTTTTTTTATTTTTATTTTTTAAAAAAGTATGTTTTATTGATTTTTTTACAGAGAGGAAGTGAGAGAGATAGAGTAAGAAACAACAATGAGAGAGTCATCGATCAGCTGCCTCTTGCATATCCCCTACCAGGGATGTGCCCGCAACCAAGGTACATGCCTTGACCAGAATCGAACCTGGCATCCTTGAGTCCACATGCCGACACTCTATCCACTGAGACAAACCAGTTAGGGCAACTCAGCCTATTTTACCATTTGGGTGGGGGTCCCTGCTGGGGCAGGAAGAGGAGGGGGCTGGCTCTGACCCAAACCCCTAAGAGAGGCTCTCTCTGCCTTCAGACTGGACCCATCCTGAGCTTTGATGGTGCCAGCTGGTCCTTGTAGCCCAGGCTGCAGCGAGGAACCATCATTGGAGCCAGCAGGAGGATGTAGGTGTGCCCAATGGGCCACACCCTAGAACCTTTAGCCCATACTTTCAGTGTTTGTGAAATGATTAGCCCGGTTACTAATGCGTTAGCCCCGCCCAGCCTCATGCTAACTCTTGCCCTGTGGGAGTGGGTGGGCTGAGGGGACTCGGGGGGCTGGACAGCTCGTCAGGCCTTGGCCAGGGGTTCGAGGGCACAGGATCACAGGGCAGGCTTTGCCCCGCTCCTTGCCCATTCCTCTGGCACCCCATTTCCTTATCTTTAAAAAAAATTTTTTAAAAATTGATTTCAAAAAGGAAGGGCAAGGGAGAGAGAGAAACATTAATGATGAGAGAGAATCTTTGATCGGCTGCCTCCTGCAAGCCCCTCACTGGTGGTCAAGCCCCCAACCCAGGCATGTGCCCTGACTGGGAATCGAACCCGCGATCTCCTGGTTATTCGGTTGAGGCTCAAATCACTGAGCCATACTGGCGGGGCTGCAGCCCCATTCTCCACTGGGAGAATCACAGGGCAGGATCCGGGTGGACAGGAAGTGAGAACCAGCTTCTGGGCAAATGGTCAGAGGCCTGGAGAGAAGGCAGGGCCCGGGCCTGCCTGGGATGGGACCAGCTTTTCTCAGCGCCCTGCTTTCTGAGCGTCCTTGGGGGTGAGGGGGGCTGGTCTATGTCTCTCTGTCCTACTTTCTCCCCCACACCCAGGCCAGCCCAGCACGCAGCCCGTGGGCCTTAGCACCCTCCTGGTCGCTGTCCTCCTCACGTTTCCTCTCCGACAAGCTCACCCCCGGGGGCTGCCCGTGGGTGTGGGCAGCGTGCCCGAGAGCCCAGGGACAAAACCCTCAACGCCCGGCTCTTGCTCTTTCTCATCTCACACCTGGTTTTATTCTTATTTTTCTGTGTACGTTTTATATTCTACTTTACATATCTGTAAACGGATACTTGTATTTAATTTTTTAAAAAAATATATTTTATTGATTTTTCACAGAGGAAGAGAGAGGGATAGAGAGCTAGAAACATTGATGAGAGAGAATCATCGATCAGCTGCCTCCTGCACACCCCCTACTGGAGATGTGCCCGCAACCAAGGTACATGCCCTTGTCCGGAATCGAACCCGGGACCTTTCAGTCCGCAGGCCGACGCTCTATCCACGGAGCCAAACCGGTCCCGGCTACTTGTATTTAATTTATAAAAGATGTAATTTGGGAGGAATGTGCTAAAACCTTTTACATGTTGCAGCCCAAGGATTTGGGCAAGCGGGGTGGGCAGGCTTCTCCCGTCCAGGGCCAGAGGGTAAAGACTCGGCTTTGTGGGCCACTTGCTTCTCCCCAGCTGCTCCGCTCTGCAGCGACAGCGCGAAAGCCGCCACAGATAACAGGGAAACGAGTGGGCGTGGCTTTATTTCTGGGCACTGAGATTTGCATGCCATAGGAAGTTCATGCATCCCCCAACATTAAAAAAGAAATGAAGTAAATAATTCTTCGCTCACGGACCCTGAGCAAACAGTCTGTGGCCCCTACACTAAGCCTGGGGAGCTTTTAAAAACGCATACTCCAACCCTAGACGCTTTGGCTCAGTGCATAGAGCATCGGCCTGTGGACTGAAGGGTCCTGGGTTCGATTCTGGTCAAGGGCATATGCTCCCGTGGCGGGCTGGATCTCCCAGTAGGGGGCGTGCAGGAGGCAGCTGATCAATGATTCCCTATCATCATTGATGTTTCTGTCGCCCTTTACCTTCCTCTCTGAAATCGATAAAAATTGTTTTTGTTTTTTCGTTTTTAAAGGCCTAACCCAGAACCCCAGCCCTGGGTTAGCAGGTTCTGTGGGAGGCCCTGGAGCCTGCGCTCTGACCAGCCGCACCGTGGGAGGGCTCGGATCTCGGCCGGTTCTGTTCAGCCCGCTCTTGTCTCCCCAAGGGCTGGGGTCCTCGGCAGAGTCTGGCCTCCACTGCGCAGGCCTGTAAGAAGCAGAGCCGCCTGCTGAGGGAGGACCCGGCTCTGGGATCTGTGTGCTCTTTGCTGGTCAGCGCCTCGGTTTCCTTGTCTGTTAAAGGGGGGCTGTGCTGTGCCCCTCGGAGGTGCTGACAGGTCAGACCAGCCGTGACGTGGAGCCGCAGCCCAGCGCCTGGCACCGACTAGGTGCTCAGGAAACAGGGTCGCTGCTCTTGCTGTTCAGGACCAGCAGGGGGCGCCAGCCCCTGCCGCAGGCACCGTTCCCGTTTGTCTGGTGCTTTCGTGTGCGTGGCCCTTGCCGTGGTCATCGCGTGGCACCTCCCGCTCACCCGGGGAGACACGCTGTCCCTTTGGAACCAGGCCCGGCAAGGCCCAGTAGCACGTCCCAGGGCACAGCTTGTGCAGCCTCGTGAGAGCCTGGCTCTCTCAGCCCGGGGCCTCGGGGCCCTGGGAGGGAGCTGAGGGCGGCCTCGGGGCCGTTACCCGTGCTGTCTGCCCTTGCAGATAAAGTACCACGAGGAGTTTGAGAAGAGCCGCATGGGCCCCAGCGGGGGTGAGGGCACGGAGCCCGAGCGCCGAGACTCCCAGGACTCCGGCTACCGGAGACCCCAGGAGCAGCAGCCTCACCACATCCCGACCGGCACCCCCGGTGAGCACGGGGCCTGTGGGGCAGAGGACCTGAGAAGCCTCAGCACTCACACACTCACACACACACACACACACACACTCACACACACAGTTAGGTCTCGTGCCCACAGAGGGCATGAGCTGGGGACAGGGCCTCTGCTGGGCCTGGGGAGGAGGAGGCGGAGGTGCCCCCCTCACTGCAGAATACGGGACACGGTGGGCACTCGGACCTCTGAGAGGTGGGCTTGAGCGGGACTGTGGGCTTCTGGGAGGGAGGAGGGAGGAGGGAGGAGGGAGGCCCGGGTTTGTCAGGACAGGCTCTGAGCCCCCCTCCTCCCTCTCCCAGTTTACCAGCAGCCCCCGCAGCAGCAGGTGGCCCCGTCCTACGGCGGCTACAAGGAGCCTGCAGCCCCGGTCTCCACACAGCGCAGCGCCCCAGGCGGGGGCGGGGTGAGTCGCGGGCCCAGGTGGGCGGTGGGCGGTTGTGAGGCCTGGGGCAGCCGGGGTGGGTGGGCCTGAGAGATGGGTGGGCTTAGGGAAGAACCGAGGTCACAGATTCTTCTAGAGACCCTGCCCGGCAGGCCTGGCTGCTCCTGGCCTTTGACCCCAGGTTCTACATCACCTGCAGGCGATAGGGATCTCGGCCTCTAGGCCAGAGGGTGAGTGTGGGATCGCGGGCAGAACCCTGGGCTGGGCTAGGGGCCCAGCCAGACCCGTCACCCAGGTTCTCTTACTCCGGCCGCCTGGGAGCTCAAGAGGCACTTTGTGCTCGGGGCCACCCAGACCTGGTGCTTGGTCCCCGCTCTCCCTGGGGGACCCCCTGCCCCGTGTTCTTCAGGTCTCAGCCTGCGCCTTTCTCGGAGGGATCCTCCCAAACATTAAAAGGGGGGCCCAGAGTCAAGCCCCCCCCCCCCACTGACATGTGCCTCGAAATCACGTGAGATCCAGACACGGTCCCTCTTAGCCCCCGACGGGGCTAGATCCCGATCCGGCCAGTCTCACCCTTGTCAAGCCACGCTGGGCTGAGGGCGTAGCCTCAGGTCCCTGCTGATTGCTCCTTAAAGAGAAGGAGACTTGGCCTCAGCTGTGGGTGCAGCCATCTTTGTGATGGCTGATGGTCCATTAGCATATCCCCTCTTTATTAGATAGGATTGTGACTTTTTAATTCTCACCTGAGGCTGTGTTGTTATTGATTTGAGAGAGAGAGGAAGGGAGAGGGAGAGAGAAGCATAAATTGGCCACTTCCTGCAACCTCGGTATGTGCCCTGACCGGGAATCGAACCTGTGACCTTCCGGGGCACCGCTCTAACCAACTGAGTTATACCAGCCAGGGCGTGCCTGCCTTTTAGTAGATGCCAAGTAGACTGGACACTCTCAGAAGGTGACAGTGAGAAAATGCAAGGCAGAGCCCAGGCCTTCCCGTCTCTGGCTCCCGGGTCCCTGCTCACCAGGCTCCACTCCGGGTCCCAGGCCGGCAGGGAGGGAGGTGGGCCCGGGCTGACTGTGCGCCCCTGGCCCCGCAGAAGCGGTACCGCGCCGTCTACGACTACAGCGCCGCGGACGAGGACGAGGTCTCCTTCCAGGACGGGGACACCATCGTCAACGTGCAGCAGATCGACGACGGCTGGATGTACGGGACCGTGGAGCGCACGGGCGACACGGGGATGCTGCCGGCCAACTACGTGGAGGCCATCTGAGCCCGCCGCCCGCCGCCCGCCCCTCCGCGCATTCCTCCGCATCCGCATCCGCACCCGCATCCGCATCCGCCTCCGCCCTGGCGTGACCGGTCCGCCCTGTGTCTGTGTCTTTAAATCTGCCACAGCTCGTTCCTCCCCAACCTCCTCCTGCTGCTTTTGCCAACTGAAGCCGCGTCCCGCCCCCTCCTGGGCTCCTTCCTCGGCAGGTTTCCCCCTGGACCAACCTCTCGCCTTTCCCTCTGGGGGAGCAGAGCGGACCTTCTGCGGGGCCCCTGGGCTGGGCTGGAAAGGGAGGTCGCTCGGCTCCCAGGCCTCTGCCTGCTCTTTTTCTCGGCCCCCTCAGACCCTCCTGCCCACCCCCTCACACACCCGAACATTCCAGGGCTGGGGTGAGCCCCCGGCCCCCAGGATGCGGGGAGGGGCTCCATGCACTCCCAGGAGCGGAGCCCCGGGATGGGGCCGGGCCGGCCACTGTGCGGGCGCCAGGAAGACAGAGGCTCTGCTTCTCAGAGACGGGGCTGCTGGCCCTCGGGGGTCCCCTCCCCACCCTCTCGTTCCTCAGAGGAGGGTGACGTTCCCGCCGTGGGGTCCAGGCATCCCCCGCACGTGTTCTCACTGTGATTTTGCTCTCCCGCCCCCGGAGACCCGGCGTGGGCCCGGAGCTCCCTCGGAAGCACGGCTGGTCACGCCCTGACCTTCCTTCCTTTGGGGACCGCTGCAGGAAGAAGGGGCCGGGCTGTTCTCTCCGGAGCCCCCTTTTCTCTGCACTTCCCCCGACACCCCCCTCTCCCCCCACTCCCCAACCCCCAGGAACCTGGCTCGCCTCCTTGGCTGGAAGCCGAGGTCCTGACAGGTGGGACGAGGAAGCCCCCCGAGATCTGGGCTGGGTGGGGCACTCCCCCTGCTCCTCCTGGAAGGGAGCCCCCTCCCCACCGCCCCCACGTGCATGGGAACCGTGCGAAGCCACAGGACCCGCTGTGTCTCCAGGACATGGCGTGGGGGGGAAGGAGTGTGTGTGTCTGCGGAGTGTCAGCGAGTGTGAGTGTGAGCGAAGGGCAGGGTATGGCCTGCAGGGGCCTCTGCCTCAGGGCGCACAGGACTGTTTTCCCCTCATATTTTCCTGAGCCCACCGTGAGGGGACAAGGGAGGCCCTAGGGGACAGAAGTTCCTCATATTTCCTTTGGAACGAAAATTCCTCTTCCGTCCCCGAATGGAGGAAGCCCGCCTGCCTCCGGCAGTAAGGGCGTGACTGAAGACGGGTGGGCGCTGACACCGCCTCCTGGGAGGGGGTAGGGAGCAGGCTTCGTGCCTTCAGGCATAGTCTCTCCCCCATCTCTGTCCTGCGCTGCAGACCAGGGGCCCGAGGCCCCTGTGCTACCCACACTGTGGGTGCCTTACTCTGGGGGCTCTGCCCCCCGGCCTCTCCCTTACTTCCTAAAGCGCCCCCTGGAGGTGTTAGGAGAGGGTCCCGGGCCCCGGGGCGAGGAAGGGAAAGATGGTGCTATCTCCAGTCCCTTCTGTCCCTCGCCCGTGGCTGTCACAGCCCTGCCTGGCGTTACTCATCTCCGGGCTTTCTCCCCCGAGTCCACAGGCCCCATCGTTAACATCTTTGCATCCTTGTCCCCTGCGTGGTGGCTGCAGGCATGATCGAGTCCTCTGCGTGCGTTAAGCTGGGACTATTGAGCCCAGAGGAGGGAGCTCAGGAAATGACTGTGGGGGAACAGGTGTGATCTTTCTGGGGGAAGCCGAGGCGCGGCCCCAGCCAGGGGAGGGTGGGTGGCAGGTTTCCTCCTGGGCCGTCTGGGGGTGAGGGAGCAATGCTGGAAACCTGGGGAGAGGCGCCAGCCCATTCCATTTCCTCTTGATCTCAAAGCACAACATGGATTCTGGGACCAAAGGTCAGAGACACGTGTTGGAGGACCCGAGGGTAGGAGGGCGGGAGGGGGGCTGGAGGAGCGAGAAACAGCCTTTTCACGCAGTTTAACTTTCCTTCCAAAACAAGGCGAGCCAGCCACTGGAATCTTGCTGCCCGGCACGCCGCTCCTCCCATCCTAAAAATAGGGGACCCTTTTTTATACAACCCACAGAGAGGAGGGGCTGCCACACTGGTGCTGAGGGACCCAGGGGCTGCGGGGAGTCCTTGTTCCTTTCCAGAACCATCCATCCCTAGAAGAGCACAGAACCCGAGGGCTGGGCTGAGGCCCCGGCCTCCTCTTACTGTCCATAGAGGTCTTAGCCAGTGTCCCAGGAAAAGTCAGAATGTGAATATGGCGTTAGTGGACCAACAATAGATGCGAGAAGCCCAACGGTGAGAAAAGTGAGTTCTCAACACCGCTTCCTGTTTTCTTCCTCGTGTCCCTCCAGGGAAAACTATTGCTTAATTTCTGCATTCCCCTCCCACCCCCCCTTCATGTATGCACTTTGGGGCTTTGTTTTGTTTTGTTTTGTTTTAATAGCTGGAAAAAAAAAAATACCACCTCACAAACCTGTATTTAAAAAGAAACAGAAATGACCGTGTGAGACTTGCCTCTGTCCGAACATTTCGTGTGTGTGTGTGTGTGTGTGTGTGTGTGTGAAGCCGTCATTCATCTTTTTATATGGGGTGGTCGTCTCTCCCTGGTTTGTCTGGTCCCCTCCCTCATGGGCTTGTGCTTGGGATCAAATCCTTCTGACCTGTTATGATTCTGAACGTTTGACTTGGACCACAAGTGAATCCCTCTGGTGACTCGAATAAAACTATAATTTTTACCTGCGGACTTCGCTTCTTCTCTGGCTCTGGCGGCGGCTGACTGTGTGTGACCATCTGTCTGGGGGCATTGGCCTGGCACCCTCCTGGGAGCCCTGCCACCTGTCCTTCGGGGTGGGGTAGGGGGGAAGAGACCAGTTTGGAAGCAGTCAGCCTACAGTGGCAATTTGCCTTGGCACCTACCCACCCGTCTACACCTGGCACTTGAATGACACTCGCACAAACTTCCGAGTTCCGTGTTCTCTTACTGTCTGACTTGCTTCACTAGGTACCCATCTCCCCACTGGGCGGGTGGTGATGGGTCTAACTCGGTGGTCGGCTAACTCATTAGTCAGCAGAGCCAACTACCAACAGTACAACGATTGAAATTTCTTTTGAGAGCCACATTTTTTAAACAACTTCAAAACAGACTCCCCCAGGCCGTGGTATTTTGTGGAAGAGCCACACTCGAGGGGCCAAAGAGCTGCATGTGGCTCTCGAGCCGCAGTTTGCAGACCACGGGTCTTAATGCATCTTTAAACCCCCAGTGTTTGCCCAAGGCCAGGCACAGAGCAGCTCAACAAATGTTTGAATGAAAGAATGAGCTCAGCTGGGGAGCTGTTTTCGCTCTGCCTGCCCTTCGCAGGCACATACCTGAGGAATGAACTGACGGAGCCTGGGACAGAGGGACTGCGGTGGGAGAAGGCAGGGGCGAAGCCGTCCGTTCGGTGGTCTGACAACCCAACGCCCTATTCATGATGCCTTACACCTGTGATCTTCAACGCACATTTTTTCATTTCATCTTATTAGCCATGCGAGAGAATGAACTACCATGGTGCCCATCATATAAGATGGGGTTCACTGACACCCAGAAAGGCCGTGGTTTGGGGGAAGTCACAGGTGGGCTGGAGGTCTTAGGACCCCGGCTGTGATGCTCACAGTCTCCTGCTACCTTGCTAGGGGGGGCTGCCTACCCAAGCCCTTTGCACGTCTCACTTCATTATCTCCTGAGCTCTGGTCTTCGCTCCAGGGGCCCTGGGTCTGACGCCCCACCAGAAGCCTCTCTGTCAGGCTAAGGAGGGGGCAGCGGTGGAGAAGGAATCCAGACCCTCCCGTCCAGCTGTTGTGTGGAGAGGGCATTCCCACTCAGGCTCAGAGGGAAGGCACTCCCTGGCTGCAGGGTGACGGCGGGGTGGGGAGGAAAAGGGCCTTCTTGAACTGAGCCTGCACTGAGCTTCCTAAGAAAGGGAATGTGACATAATCAGGGGACGGACAGGCCAGGTCAGCAGGGCTGACCGTGTGGGCAGTGTCGGGCGGCAGCTGGTGGGATAATTAAAGATAATACTGACGCCTGCTTCTCGGAAGGAGCGGCTGCTTCGGCTGCTTTGTTCCGCTAGAAGGGAATGAGTTGGCAGGTCTTACCTCCTGCGGGCCTGGCCCTTTTTGTCAGAGAGCGGCAGTCCCCTCGCCCCAGGAGGCTGCGCTCCCCTGAGCAATGAGAGGGGGCAGTCCTGCTGGGAGGGGATCTGCGTGCTGTCTCCTGGGCACAGGCCCACGGGAGGAGTTTCTAGACCCAATTCTAGAAGTGGCCTGAGTTCCCGAGACCTAGTGTGAGGAGGGGGGATACTAATGCTTCACCCCCAGGCCCTTCCAAAGAATTTTTTTTGGGGTGGAGCCCTGGACACTAGGCTTCAGAGATATCACAGGAAAGTTTTGTAATTTAATGGAAAATAAAGACAAAAAGGCATTAAGAGCAACACAATACATAATACCCACGACCCAGCTTAAACCAATAAAACATCAAATTTTCCCCCTTTCCCTTCAGAAAAAGCCACTTGAATTTGCATTTCTAGGCACAGGGGGGGCCTGAGAACTCTTTGGTGCCTCTCTGGGTGTAACACCAGGAGGAACGCTCTCTCGGAAGAGGATACAAAAGAACAAGAATGTGGTAATGACCACAGAGAGACAGGCATTGAGAAGGGGAGAGGCCTCTGGTGCCCACACTGTAGAGGGAGGGACCTGAGCTGAGGGGCATTTCAGACAGAAGGTGGGCCAGTCTGGGGCGGAGAGCAATGTGGACTCTGGAGTGTGCAAGCCGACTGGTAGTTTTTATTTACTTATTTATTTTATTGATCTTTTACAGAGAGGAAGGGAGAGGGATAGAGAGTTAGAAACATCGCTGAGAGAGAAACATCGATCAGCTGCCTCCTGCACACCTCCTACTGGGGATGTGCCCGCAACCAAGGTACATGCCCTTGACTGGAGTTAAACCCAGGACGCTTGAGTTTGCAGGCTGACGCTCTATCCACTGAGCCAAAGCGGTTAGGGCTGGTAGTTTTGAATCTTGGTCTCTGCCACTTCCAGTGACACATTGGGCAAATTCCTCGCCATCTCTGAGCCTCAGCTATAGGAGACCTATAGGAGGCTGTGTTCCCCTGAACGCAGGGAGGGTGAAGTTACACCATCTGGCACAGGCTAGAAATCCTGTGTCAGCCCCGTCCCAGAGATGCCAGCTGAGGCTCACATGAGACCTTTTCCACATCTCTCCATACGGGACCTTTACACCCTGCGTACGGCCACCCCACTCCCAACCATTCTTCTTCTGAGATCATTTGCTCGGGGCGTGAGAGGAGAAAGGGGAGAAGAAAGGCAGGACGACTCACTCCTAAGGGATCTGGCTAGAGATACGATCTCCTCCTCCGGCCCTCTCATGCAGACTCCACTTAGATACCAAGGGGTGGGATTGGGTTCCTGGGGAGAAATTGAGCCTCCTCAGTGTTGCTTGGTCTCAATCCAGCAGTTCCTGGGTTACCCACTCCCGGGCTTCCTGATTGGTTGGCTGTGGTGTATGGAGGTGGGGTAAAGGAAGCTGCTGATGGAACGGCAGCATCAATTAGACTCGGGCCCTGGAAGGGGGAGGGGGAAAACGAGGGCTGAGCCGTGGAGGGAGGAGGGAGCCATTCCTTTCCGCTGACTGCAACCTCGGAGCTCACAGCTCACATTTCTCTGCAATCCAGGGGCCTCCTCGGCCGAGAACTCCGTAATGCTGGATATTTTCATCCTGATGTTCTTTGCCATCATAGGCCTGGTCATTCTCTCCTACATCATCTATCTGCTCTAGTGCCTGCAGCTGCGGCGGAGCCACAGGAAACCCGCTCAGGGAAGAAGGATGAAGCTGGCTGGCCGAGCATCCTGCTTGCTGACGCACCGGTGGATTTTTGCTTCTGGTCCTTATTTCGGGTATTGATTCAAAAACAAAATTAAGAGAGATCTTGTTTTTTATCCCCCTCCCCCCCAGATGCATTGATGTAGTATTTCTCAGACCACTCTGAAAAGAATAAGAAGTGCTAACTTTTTTCTTTGTGACCTCATTTAAAACATTTTTTAAAAAATGAAAGCCACTAGGTGAAGGATTTTTAGGTAGAATGAGTTGGGAGTGGAGTGCATGGTGGGAGGGACTATAATTTTGTAGCTTTTTCTCTCAAGTTGCTCAAACTCCAAGTTGTCCGTTCTCTTCCGGTAATTAAAGGTTAAAAACACGTCATTCTATGCCAGCAGGGTGGTTTACAATTATGCTTGCACCATTGCGTTAATGAGTGACTCGTTCTCACTTGAAGATGAGCTAGGAAATGAGAATTACTGAGGAGTGGGGTTTGGGGGAAAGGAGAGAGGAACTCCTCTTTCTTTTCTTAGTTCCCAGAGCCTAAAACCAGGATAGGAACGGAGACCTTTGCCGCTGTTCCCATCTGACCCCTGTTGTTTCTGCGTTTCCCACAGTTCCCGGTCTCCGGTCCAGCAAGGCCTCTTATCAACAGCGGCTGCCCTGCCGCCCAAACAGATCCCTTCCAGAGCCTTCCGGATATGGTTAACCCCTGTCAAGCAAGGGACTTCTGGAATTCAGAGTCTGAGGCACTCGGCTGGGACATCAGGAATTCACGGGCATGGCTGGCAGGTGTGCGTGCTTTTGAGCTCTCAGCTGAAAACACAGATAGCTGAAATGGAGACTTATTAAAATGACCCTAGAGAACTTCTCAAAATTCATTTCGATAGGAGAGCCTTTCCTTAGGTGTTTTCTTTCCCTCCTTTGTTAAGTCCAAGACCACATTGTCTCTCTTGACCTAGCCACTTCACCCCTGCTGCTATAGATTACACCATCTGGGGCTGTGTGATTTCCTTTGACTTAGTCTCAAGCCTGAAGGAACTTGTCATCTGAGCTTTTAAGATTTACTTTCCTCGCTCCCCTAACATTTGCGCTCCAGCTTCTCACTGAAAGAGAGAAACAGTTCTATAGTCTCCTTCTTTGTGCGTGGCTGAGTCATAAATTATTGAAACAAGATGGCTATGCTTGTTATTTGGGAGAAATATCTCTCTTACTGCAAAGTAAATGCTTTTTTAAGTTGTCAAATGTTCCTTTTCTGGAAAAAAAACTTTCAACATATTTTCTGTCCAATTCAGGTTGAAGAAACCATATATTTTGGAGTCCAGAAAAGACTGAAAAATCCATCATAATTGTTTTACATTTGATTTTTTAGCTTAAAAATAAACAAGAAAGATGAACTTAATCGTTTTACCCATACCATTGTGTCCCATTCCCATGTTTTAAAAAGAAAAAATTGAGGCATTATAATATACTGTCAATTAAAATGAAAAACTTGCATTTTAGAATTCTGGCCAAGGAAAAACATTGTTCTAGAAGCTTTTTGTCTTGGCAACAAATTATGTGACCTTCAGTAAGTCATTGAACCTTTCAGGGTTTCATTTTTTTCTGCCAAATGGAAGCGATGGACTAGAAAATTGTTAATATCCACTTTGAAGTTCTACAATTCTAGGATGCATCATCTTTGAGAACAGAAATCTTAAAAAAAAAAAACACCAAAAAAAATCTTAATAGTTAACAGTATTCCACTTTCCTGCTCTCCCCAAGTGACATTTTATGACAAAAACTCAACTAACTACAAGACTCTTCTGGCACATTGTGAGGGGGAAAAATGACTATTTTTTACCCCAAACATATCTCAGTGGTACTTGGCCATGGTGGTTTGTAACAAAAATAGGTAATCTGATACACCAATGCAAAAGCCTGGCCTGACCATTAATACATTCAGAGATGATCTTTAGTTAGCTGTGGAGTCCTTGATATGACATTTCCCAGTAAAACATCTTCTGACTCTTTGGCATAGTTTTGTGTTTGAAACGAAAATTTTCTTCAAGTCAAGATAGCAGTGCTAGGTCATTACCTAGGCAATCAGGGAAGTGTTAGTATTTTGGAGGGGGTCCAAGTAACACAGTTAATTATTGTGGTGTAATCTTCATGGTATAGTCTCTAATCAAGCTCGCTCTGAAGTTTTTCATGAGGTCAAGGCTCTTCAGTCTGAACTCATAGAAAGTTGAAATGACTAATTAATTCAGTGAAAACAATCCGCCGATTTTCAGTTATACAACAGTGATATATACCACTGGCTCTGGGCACAATATAAGGACAGAAAGATTATCCATATTTTCAGTTACTTGTGAAATAATTACATTTTGGAAGAAATTTTATGACTTTGTGGGCCGAGCCTGCACGGCCAACGGGGTAGCTGAAAGGCTCAGAAAATACAGACAAAAAGAATGAAAGCTGGTTCTTGGTGGGATGTGGCTTTCTGAGAGACAGCGCCAACTCCCATAAGCCGAGTCTTTATTTTATAGCAGATGCCACGAGGCAAAGTAAGGGCGTGGTCAAGATGTTTACAGCATTCTCGTGAGTTTCGATCCTACTCCATATTACATGCACCTGATCAGGCTTTGTTTACTTGCAGCCTCTATCACTCAGGCACGTGGGGCCACGTGTTCGGACCATAGGTTCACGCTTACAACTACAGCTGTTGGCTATCATTGTGCTGGGAGGCTCTGCCCTCCAAGCTGGGACTTACACGTGGCCACGAGAGGACTGTGCCCTCTGATCATTCCAAGGCTTGAACCTGTCCAAACGCTGTAGCTGCACCCAACTTTATGCTTATATCCATCCTATAATAATGCCAGTTTATAACAGTGTTTTACAGTGTTTATCATTTTGATAATTAAAAAATTTTTTCATATTTAAACTTTTTGTATATTAAAACACTGGAAAACATAGCTTCTGTAATATAAGGTTGTGTTTGGTTTTAAACCTCATCTAAGGATATTCTTCCATTAAATTTTTAGAGAGAGTGGAAGAGAGAGGGAAAGTCAAGAGAAATATTGATATGCGACAAACACGTAGATTCGTTGCCTCTCCTGCTTGAGGCCTGACCAAGCAAGGTACATGCCTTTGACTGGAATCGAATCTGGGACCCTTTGGTCCACAGGCTGATGCTCTATCCACTAAGCCAAACCGACTAGGGCGGTAATATAAGGTTTTGGATAAATTTTACAAATCTGTGTCATAGGGCAATCATGTCCTACGAAAGGGGATTATACTTGGCCCGCATAAATGCAATAAAAACATCTCTAAATAATTGTAGATTACTTGGAAAAAATTAATGTGGCATAATGCTAGAATTATTATATTAATACCTGCTTTATTGATTAAAAATAAGGGGTTTGTATGGAAAAGTGATGTATTTTATTTTATGAGCAAGAGGACATATTTTGGGAAACAGTTAAATAATGAAAAGATAAATGTTACTAAGCTACACTCATCCAAGCAATGAGCTCTGAGTATATGGAATCAAATCCAAACTTTCAGAGTTTGAAGCTTAGCATGACATTAATTTATTAACTTTCAGAAAATGTTTGCTTATAAAAGGCTTACAATAAGCATTCAAATTTCAAAATCCCTTGAGTATCATTTTAAATTATTTACAAATAATGGGAATTTCCCTTAATAGAATACTAAAGAATAGTTGAAATAAAAAATTATCTTTGTAAAGTATATACTTTGCCTTTACCAACCTCCAAATGTTTGTTACAATGGCCTCCTCTAGTTTTGCTCTCATCTATTTTAAACAAAAATAAAAGCAAAGTCATATATAAAGAGGGAAACAGAAAAAGTCATTGACACAACTTCCATTATAAACTCAAACATACTAAGAAAGACACTTAGAAATAGTTAATAACTTTTTGTTCTTAGAAAAACACTGCAATATCTTGTAGTCATGGGAAATAACAGGTAATACACAATACTTAATTACATATTTTGTTTTTTGAAATTAGTATTAAACTAATTGTAGCATATCTATTTTAGCAAGAATTAAAATATTAATTGGCCGGGACCGGTTTGGCTCAATGGATAGAGCGTCGGCTTGGGGACTGAAGGGTCCCAGGCTCGATTCCGGTCAAGGGCATGTATCTTGGTTGCAGGCACATCCCCAGTAGGGGGTGTGCAAGAGGCAGCTGATTGATGACTCTCTCATCGATGTTTCTAACTCTGTATCTCTCTCCCTTCCTCTCTGTACAAAATCAATAAAATATATTAAAAAAAATTAATTGGGGATTTGGTATCTGAAATAGATAACAGAACAGTATAAAATACTGTTGTAGTTACAGATTATTATACAACTTAGGAATTGTTGCTAGTAAATGAAATTAATTTATATACTATAATATTAAGCATAAATATACATATACATAAATATATAGCTAATTAAACATTATTTTATGTTAAGGCATTTTATATTTTGATCATGGCAGGGCTTTAATAAATAAAAGCTTAAATAAAAATAAGTTCCTCAAAAAGAAATAATTTAAAGAAATTTATACATTCAATGACTTGCATAATGACAAACTGGACAACTTAAAAATGTTTGTAATTTTATTTTATTTTATTAATATAAATAACAAAATAAATAAAAGTTAACAAATATTAAATATTTACATATCAAAGACATTTTACCATAAACACAATACTTTAAAAATAATAATCATACTTTTTAGTTTGTGCACCTTGAATGATCTTAGAATATCTATAAGCATTTGTTTTATTTTGTTTTTAATTTAAAAGGCTTTCAAGGGTTAAACTAAGCTTGTTTTTTTAGTCTAATTACTTGAAGAGTTTTCTGGAGTTATATTTTCTTTCTTGATGAAAAAAAAGTATTCTTAGTCCTTTGGCACTTTTTTGTAACCTAGGAAAGACTGCCCAAAACAACTATTTTTGAGATCATATTTCTTAGTCTAGTAATGTTTCAATAAACCAAGGAGATATGTCCACAGACTGGTTTCTGACAGGGTTCACAGCTGCCTGTAGTGGAATTGGTAAAGAAGTTACATTGCTAGCAAGGTATCCAATAACATGAGGCTTTTACAGCAGCTTTGTATTTTTATCCTTCACAATATTTATTGACATAAACATTTGTAATCATATAATTCAGTACTACTCACTTAAAGAAGTTAACTCAGGTAATAGCCACACGAAGAGATTAATATTTGTTTTTTGCTGACATAAGATGGTTCCTCCACTTGTACCTTTTCTACTGGGCACATCACACTTGCTCTAATTTCCAAAGGTGAAAAATTATCATGGCAATAAAATCTCTGTTATTAACAAAACAACTGGGAGCAGGAATTAAGCTATCAGAGATGGGAAAGGTGTGAAATAGGTGCCTATTGTTCATGCCATGGGAGAGCAGCCTTGAATTCTTCAAAGCCGGAAAGGCTTCCCAGGAACAGTAATTTACTGCCGGATCGTGAAAACAACAAAGTTGAGGAGTCAGAAGGGCATGAGAAGGAATTATCCAAAAAAGTACTAAGAAGATATTTTTTCAGCCAACCTGAAATGCTCCGGGGGTGAGCATCGACCAGGAACCAAGTGGTCACTGGTCATATGCCTGGGTTGCTGGGCTCGATCCCCAATGGAGTGCATGCAGGAGGCAGCTGATTGATGATGTTCCTCTCTCACCCATGTTTCTATCTCTCTATCCCTCTCCCTTCCTCTCTCTCTCTAACAAAATCAATAAAGATATATTTTTTAAAAAGATGTTTTGTGGTTTCATAAAGTACAGAGTATTTATCACAAGATATAAACTTTAAATTAGTGTCTAAGAAATGTAGTACCATTAGTTTGTTATTAGTACTATTATGGTGTGTGTGTGTGTGTGTGTGTGTGTGTGTGTGTGTGTGTGTGTTTAGAAACAATAGTAAAGTTAAATGTAATGCTGTCATTGAGCTTTTTGGGCTTGCCTTCTAGTGGAATAAAAATCATCCTACAAATAGAAGTCAAAGAATTCTGAGGAAATCACTATGAAAAGGGAAAAAAAAGAGCTAGAAGCTCAGGTTAATCTTCTAATTCATAAAAAGGTACAGAATAAATGAATGATTTGAATTGTTAGTATTGTTATGTTATTATGACTATTCTGGAGTCAGCTAGGAGTGAACAATCTAACATTCTTAGGCTATTCATTTTGCACACGCTCGGTTTTTGTGGCAATATGATTGCATATACCATCACTTAAACATCAATATTAATGATAATATGCTTTCACAATTTAGGCTCCCACTTCAAAATTTGATATCACACTTTATTCCTAATGACGAATATATTCAGCAAAAACCTGGACTGCTGTCCAGCTGGGTTTGGGTTTCATTCACCCTTTGGAAAGATAACCACCATCAACTCTAATCGTATAGACTTACTGCAGCCTGGTTTCTCTGTTACAATAAAATTACTGTCGACCCAAAAAGTAAAAACAACAACAACACAATAATAATAATAATAATAATAATAATAAAAACCACACTGGATTGCTGAATTGAGGAAACTGCGAATTTTGTCTCAAAAGTTATTTTTATCTATTAATAATTGAATGAAGAATTTTTCAATTTACTTTTTATTGGTAGCAAGATGATATCATTTACCTATTATTATACCCAAAGAATGAATCAGATTTTTTACGTCCCAAATTTCTTGGGATGGTGAGATAATGATCTCACAAGTATCAAGAGTAATGCAATAATGTGTTTTTCAAATTTTACAGCAGCAGTCATGTCAAGTATATGATGAAATTCAAAATCCAGGTAAATACTTTTAAATTAAGCCATTCTTCTTTTGTAAATTTCTGAAAATAACTGCTGTAGAGACTTAGGTAATTCAAGGAACACAAGGAAACTTCACAATGCCAAATTGCTTCTTTAAGAGAATGAAACTTAACATCTATGTAATAAACTTTTAAAATATTCACTATTTATGTTAAATTTTTTACTTTCTTTCCTTCATTCCCCCTCCCCCCGCCCAATAATCTAATGGAGTATATTCTCAACTTAGAATTACTAATATTTTGATAAGTAAATGGGTTAGGTTTTCCAAAGCATGTAAGAGAAAAAGAGTGAGAGAGAAAACAAAAAGCTAATTAAAATGTTTTGTACTCTGGTATCTGCCAACTTTTAATCTTCATAATTTAGTGGTGAACTGGAAGGAAGAAAATGAAATTGAGAGGAAGAAAATGAAACTAGGATAAAAGCAAGGACTTGTTTTTTTTCATAAATATGCAAATGTTAACCTCTGGAGAAATAATTCCTGCAACCGATGGAATTACAGTTGGACAATTCATCAAAGAAAGGGAGTTAGTTTCTGACCATCCAAGGTTAAGTGCTTATGCTACTGAAATATAGTAAAATCTTGTTATAAAAATTTACATTTTCTCCACAAATTTCACTCTTCCTCAATCTTATTAAATCTCTTACTGAGCCCCACTTGCCAAATACTTGAAAATTTTCCACTATTTCTATCCTACTTCTGCAGGTAATTTCTATATCGTCTAGTTGTTTCTTCCCTTTATCAGGTCAAGAGGTGATTTAAATTAAGGGCTTAGAAAAAGAGAGCCAGTGTCTGGAAAGTTGAGTGGGAAAAGTTGTGTGTTCACCCAAGGAGAAGAAAATGGAAAATCCAGGAGGGTCCAGCATTATTTCAGCCTCATTAGGCGCTATTATTTTCTACTTTAATAGTAGAAGTGATGCTAGTCAGACTAAAATAGCCCTGGAGCTTCTTAGAATTCATTTATTTGAGTGAAGAAAAATCCCACTCCTGGGTTGCTTTTACATCCATGCTTCCAGTTTCTTCAAGTTCTACTCTTTAAGATAGGGAGAAAAGCTTTAGGAAGAAGTGCAAATTATTTGTGCATATTGTGCTGGCATCAGAATATTTTCTTTCATTTTATATTTTCCCTTATTTGCAACATTTTACTCTAATCCCCAGAAAATAAAATATGATTTGTATTAAAACACTATATACCCCTCTCTTTATAGACTTTTTATATGATTTATTATATATATATATATATATTTGTATATGTACATATATAAATATTCATGAATATGTATATACCTATACACACATACTTTCTTTGGTTTTTGATTTGTTAGTTTATACAAAAAATGAACAAAATATAATGGTCTTTATAACTATATGCCAACAAGATGGTTTAAAATGTGATTTATATCTGCACATTCCAAAACCTCATATTGCAAACCTTCATAAAACATTCTAGGCTATAGCTACACAATCTAAGCACACTGAACAGATACATAAATTTGGGTCTGCTCAACTACAGAACAAAATTTTCTCTTGCTTCAAAGTCCCATACATACAGTCTGGCTGGCCCCAGACTGTTGGACACTAAATTTTGGTGTTCGGTTTATAAAATCTGGAGAGAAACAGCTTGTTTTCTAGAATAATCTCAATATATTCTTGGATTTGCCTATAATTTTTATATTAATAATGATATAAGCAGTTGCCACTAAAATGCTGTGCAACTTTAGAATTACTTGGGTAATAAAAAGTTCCCTGGGTGCTATTTTTGATTGTGGAAAGTAGCATTCTTCTCATCGTTAGTTCAGTGAGGTAGTCTCTAAATGCACAGCTTTCTGAGTATTTAGGTAGCGATAGAATTGATGGTCAAATACAGGACCTCCTTATGGAAATTAGCTTGAGCATGCACAAGATGGAACAAATTCAAAAAGATTCTGTCCTCTTCATCTCGATCTCCTATATGCCATACACAAGAATGGACAGTTGGGGGAAAATGACAGTAAAGTTTTAAATGTATGATCTATTTAAAACATAAGATGTCCCAATTTTTTCTAATATACGTAGCAGAAGACTAGTTATTGATCTTAATCAGATGTTAACCATTGAGATCATGGAATTCTATAACAGCACTAACTTAGAAGTCAGAGAAAAGGATGCTGGTCCATGTTACTTTCAACTTTATGACTGAGGGTAAGTCAGATAACTATCTACCGGTAAGCTTTAGTTTTCTCATCTGTAAAATAGGGTTAATTATCATGTTGGCTACCTAATAAAACTGTAAAAAATGTACATTAAAAATATACAAATACAGGATATTATTGTCATTAGTATGATAGTTGATTAGTGAACAAGTTAAAATTTTTTGTTGTGCAGAATGGAAATCGGATCCTATCAGAGCAGACTCTTTGACTTTGTTTTCCATTAAAACTAATATCAGATTTAAAAAGTGACAAAACCAGAAACTAAATATATCCCATGGAAAAGCAAACAAAAAATGTCTACTTCTTCTATTGTTGGTTTAGAATAAAAGTCTACACAGAATTATTCCTGACTCAAGTGGAGACTAGAATGCATTTTATTCACTCCTGCGCACTATCTACACGCATACTCACCAGACATAATTGACTGCAGCATTTCCATTATAATACATGCAAATGCATTTGCCACATTCTGCAGGAAGCTGGTTTTTTCAACTGAGGTACTAAAGACTTTACAGACTTTTTGCATCATTTTAACTGCCCAGTCCATGCAGTATAGTTCTTTCTCGCACACCTGATTTAGACATACAAAGCATTATGGAATATCTTCATTTAAAGAAAGCTATAAAATTTGAAAATTGTATTAATTATGATGGTTTATGATTTTATATAATTTATTTATTACACATGGCATTATATTGAGTCTATAAATGAGAAATGTTTTTATATCTAACATTGCTTTCAAATGGTATAATTTTAGTGGAAAAATATGACAAAAAAACTCTGGTTCAAGATTATCATAGAATATTATATTTAAAAATTTAGTTATATATATATATATATATATATATATATATATATATATATATATATATAACTAGTCCTCACATGAGGATATTTTTCCATTGATTTTTAGGGAGACTGGAAGAGAGAGAGAAAAACAGAAACATCGATGTGAGAGGAACACATTGATTAGTTGCCTCCTGCACGCCCTGACCAGGGCCCAGGCCAGGGAGGAGCCTGCAACCAAGGTATGTGGCCTCGATCAGAATCAAACCCAGGACCCTTTGGTCCACAGGCCGATTCTCTATCCACTGAGCCAAACTGGCTAGGGCAATTTATTTTTCAATTTAGTTTACATTTAATATTTTTCTGTATTAGTTTCAGATGTACAGCATAGTGGTTAGAAAATCATGTACTCACTGATCCCATACATAGTTATCATGATATTAATTTTTTTAAAAATATATTTTTATTTTTTTACAAAGAGGAAGGGAGATAGTTAGAAACATCTATGAGAGAGAGTCATCGATCAGCTGCTTCTTTCACACCCCCTACGGGGGACGTGCCCGCAACCAAGGTACATGCCCTTGACCGGAATCGAACCCAGGACCCCTCAATCTGCAGGCCGACTCTCTATCCACTGAGCCAAACCGGTTTTGGCTATCACGATATTATTGACTGTATTCCCTATGTTATAGTTTACATATCTGTTACTGTTCTGTAACTACCAATTTGTACTTATTAATCTCTTTAATCTTTTTTTACCCAGACCAACTGTCAGTCTGAGCTCTGTATCTTATTATAGAATATTAATGTAAGAATTAATATTGAAAACAATTGTTATTTTTATGGACAACAGACTTCTGCCCTTTCACTCATGCAATAGATACTGATGGAGCACATGCTAAGAGGTGGAAATATGATAAGCCATAAAGACAGGGCTTCTATTTTGAAGGAGTCTAATCAGGGTAACAGACAAACAAGAAATTTCAATAGGCAAGAGAACTCTATAGTATTATCAACTTTTCATCTTGGAAGTTGTAGGAAATACTTATCTTTCTATTGTTTAAAAAATAAATATTTAAAGGAAAGACTACATGTTAATAGTTAAAACTGAAAGAAAAAGGTTTATTTATTAACATTCTAAATGGCCATTTTAACATATAGCTAAATAATATACAGCATGAAAATAAACTTTATAGTAATATCACTAAACAATATTAATCTGATAGGAAAGATGTATTGCCTACTTATGTGTAAGGAATGGTACAAGGCACTATGAAAAGCATGTGACACAGTCCTGGATATCAAAGAATTTGCAATCTGTTTTGGGAGATAACTTACCACTATAAGTAAATGAAGATAAAGAGAAGACAAATCTGAGGCAATTTAAGGAAAATTAATGATCAGAGTTGAGATGATAATCAGGGAAGGCTTTCTGGAAGGCTTCTTCACCCCAGTGACTTCCTCTTCATTCTGTTTGCTATGGTGCTGTCAGAGTGACCTTTTAAGAACTTGAAGCTGATCACATCACTCCCCTTCCTAAAACTTTTCAGCAGCTCCCTATTAGAGGATGTGTTCAAGCTCCACAGAAAGTCTACCAGCCCTTCATTACCTAGCCTCTCCCTTTCTGTCTGATCAAGCTTCCTCCTCTTCCTCTTCCTTACATTTTACCCTTCAGAAATAATACTGAGCTACTTACAGTCCTGTGAATATAGCCATGCAATTCTCTTCCCCTCTCTTTTGGAGAAAGTGTGTTTAATTATTAAAATAAATATTTATATAGAAATTACAGTTAATTTAGTAGCTTTATTCACATTTTAAAAAGAGCTACAGAGGTTTCATTCATGTTTTAAGCAGTTGAGTTGGTAATAACCCTGTCTCCACTTCATAGGAAATGAATTACTTCAATTATTCCTTACAACAGCCAACTTGAGGATTACTCCATTGCTTGTGAATTATTGGTTGAGCTGGCATCTGCGATGGTAGCCAAATAAGTGATTTGCCCTATCTGCCTTGTGAACTTCTATTCATTTTTTAAAGTAAATTTGGTTTGAGAAAGCCCTCACTATGCTCTACTCTCACCCATATTGGTTCCTCTTTGCTACCTCTGATTGTATCTTTCTGCATATATAGTTTTGCACTTACCTCACTGAATTTATTTATATATGCCTTAATATCACTTAAAACACTATAAACAGCTTTCTGTCAGAGAACTGTTTTATGAATTTCCATAGACCTAGAATCTCACATAGTGTGACCTGTAGTAAAATCTCAATTTTTATTAAATGAATATTAAATATATTTTAAATGTTTTGTTTTGAAAAACATTTTAACTATAGAAAGTAGAGAGAATAGTATAATGAATCCCATGTATCCACTTTCCAGCTTACCAATCTTGTTTCACCTTTACCTCCATTCCCTACCATATCCTCTCCCTGCTGCCCATTGGTTATTCTGAAGCAAATCAAATAGAGTACTATATTTTTAATTTTTTAATTTAATTTAATTGATTTCAGAGAGGAAGGGAGAGGGAGAGAGAGGAACATCAATGATGAGAGAGAATCATGGATCAGCTGCCTCCTGCACACCACCCACCAGGGATGGAGCCACAACCCAGGCATGTGCCCTGACCAGGAAACGAACTCGGGAGTCCTCAGTCTGCAGGCTGATGCTCTATCTACTGAGCCACACCAGACAGGGCAAGTACTTTATTTTTTAATAGAATTTTTGAAAAAAGAATATAACTTGGCAGAGCTGTATGATGACAATCTAGACATGAATTAGGGAAAGGTTAATACAGAGAATAATTCCAAGTATGATAGTTTATTACTATTTACTTTTTGTTAATCCTCACCCAAGGATATTTTTCCATTGATTTTTTTTTTTTTTTTTTAGAGAGTGGAAAGGAGGAAGGGAGGAGATGGAGGGAGAGAGCAGGACATATGAGAGAGAGAGGGGGGAAATGAGATATATAAGAGAGATACACCGATCTGATCAGTTGACTCTAGCCCTTGCCCCAACTGGGGCCTGGAATTAACCTACAATCCACGTACTTGCCCTTGACGGGGGAAATAGAACCTGAGACCCTTTGATACTTGGGATGATGCTCTATCACTGAGCCATACTGGCCAGGGCATATATTTAAAATTTTTATAAGTATATATTATAAGATATATACCTATATACTTATTCTTTCTAAATGTTTTGTACATATTTCAGTTCCTTCAGGGCAGCTTCTTGGCAGGTCAACTATAATGTTAAACAACTTGTTAGAGAAAACTTATTTTTTACTTACCAAAGCCAAAAAGACTATCAGTCTTGCCAGTTCAGCGGTCCGTCCATTCACAGCTTTACTAGCCATGAAAGTGAAACAGATGTCGTTCCCACTTAGGATTAGGAGACGTGCATTATTTTCTAGAAGCCACTCACGAGGAACCACTTTTATTAGAGAAAGAACAGTTACTATAAGAAATTGCACAATAGCTATAGTAAACATCATTAATTACATGCACAATTATATCATTTCATTGGAAATATAATTATTGCCAAGGGAAAAGCTAAGAAAAAAATACTTTAGTTTTTTAATTCCAGCATTTAACTGGAGACAGAGATTACTGCCATGTCATGGCAGCTCTTACACATATACTAGTAATAGAGTCAAAGCATTTTTCCTACAGATAGATCAATAAACAAGGTAGCTTAATCATGTGAAAGGAAAGAACTCTTGAAAACTTCAGAATCTAAAGAATTATGCATAAATGGGAAAAATTGTTTCACTTCTGCCATACCAAGAGAGGGATTCTTCTGCCGAAACCGGTTTGGCTCAGTGGATGGAGCGTCGGCCTGCAGACTCAGGGGTCCCAGGTTCGATTCTGGTCAGGGGCACGTACCTTGGTTGCGGGCACATCCCCAGAAGGGGTGTGCAGGAGGCAGCTGATCAATGTTTCTCTCTCATTGATGTTTCTGGCTCTCTATCCCTCTCTCTTCTTCTCTGGAAAAAAATCAATAAAAAATATATTTAAAAAATATATTTACGCAGCCAAGGAAGGTGTTTTTGAGAACTTGCAAAATGGGAATAATTAAATTATGAAGCTTTCAAATAATATTGGTAACAAAAATATACCTATTACATTCACAATTGAAGAAAAGTAAGTTGATTATATCCAGTCTCTTCAAACAATGCCTAATTCTTTAAATATTTTAAAGCATTTAATGATAGACAAGTCATTTGGTACCTGTAGAATTACCATTATAATTTTATAACTGTATTCTAACAATAAATTTCTGTTACTCTGTGTGATAAATATGTTATTTTACCTGATAGTTCATCTATAAGACTGATAACATCATCTGCTGTCCACTCTTTGATGCCTGTGTCATATAGTAATTTAATGGCATCAGCCAGGCCTTTCAGACTAGATTCATCTGTAGGTTCTTCTATCATTTTCTGCCAAACCACTTGTCCTGAATGATAATTGAAACAAAAATTAGGTTATGACAGAATAGTTGACTTTGTGATAAAGACTTCATGGATTATTTAAAAAGGAAATTGGATTGCATAATGGAATTCATTACTTATATGTGCTATTTTCATAATGAAAGTCAATTCTGATAACAGTATAAATTTGAATGTCTCTGACTGATGTGATGAAGCATAGCCATAATAGCTAAATGAAGTAAAAAAAAAAAAAAAAAAAAGGTAGTTTCACTAAGCAGAATAGTGCTTTTAGTTAAAAGATAATGCTATTCTGGTAACAAAAATTGGGACAATTAATGTAATTTTATTGAAATAAAATAAAATCTGAAAAAGAGAACATGCTTATTTGAGTATCTCCCAAACATTTATATCAAAACAGAGTTGTTCAGTTGATTTTTTATTTAGCAACAAACATAATATATATTTTTTATTGATTTTTTACAGAGAGGAAGGGAGAAGGATAGAGAGTTAGAAACATCAGTCAGCTGCCTCTTGCACACCTCCTACTGGGGATGTGCCCGTAACCAAGGTACATGCCCTTGACCAGAATCAAACCTGAGAAGTTTCAGTCCGCAGGCCAACACTCTGTCCACTGAGCCAAATCAGTTAGGGAAACAAACATAGTCTTGAATTAAGATAATGTTTAAAAATGAAAAGCAGCTATTTTAGGTAAACCAGAGATGATAGGAATATATTTGGTAATGGCTTGCAGCGAACATTTTCTGTCTTGAAGCTTAAGTTATGCACAAGTTAATGTATAAATCCATGAAATCATGAAATATTTTAAGAATGATGAAACTGAACAAGTACAAAAAGATATGCTTCCTAAAGTAAAAGTAATTAACCAGTTTTATAACATATATTGCTAAAAAATAAATGCTCACCATCTTGAGGAGATATTGGTCCAAAGATGATATATAGTAGTCTTGCCTGATTCACCATTGGCCATGGTTTTAATATACGTGTCAACCAAAAAGCAGAATCACTTCTATGTGTCCAGTGATCAAACAGGACATTCCTACAGAACAGTCTGATCCTTAACTCCAGTTTTCGGGAATTTCCTATGAACACAAAAGGCTTGTAAGCCATTCTTCCTAGAAAGGTTGATGTGCATAATAAATAAGTCAAATTTATTATTATACAATTATTAATATACTAAAAGCATTAATTCACTTTCCTCTGTAAAACTTTTAGATTATTAAGGGATTGTTTTTAAAAAGCTTTATTGAGATATGATTTACATTGCACATAATTCACCCATTTAAAGTGTACAATTCAATGGTTTTTAGTATATTCACAGATATGTGCAGCTATCACCAAGTAAATTTTAGAATATTTGAGCATCTCAAAAAAGAAATTCTGCTCTTTTAGTTACCACTCCCAGCCCCAAGCAACCAATAATTTATTACTTATCTCTATAAATTATCCTATTCTGGGATTTCATATGAATGAAGTCATATAGTATGTGGTCTTTTGTGACTAGATCCTTTCACTTAGCATAATGGCTTGAAGGTTCATTCATGTTATGGCATGTATCTAGCTTAAGTAATAAAATATTATTAATACAGTTGAAGCCATCTGAGTACTTCTCTTTCTCTAATCACATGCCACTTGAACTTCACTATCCAATTCAGTGTTTATCATTCTCTTATATTTCTTTGTTGTTTTACAATAAACAGATATCACAATTTATTTTTTTATTTTATTAATTTTTTACAGAGAGGAAGGGAGAGGGATAACGAGCTAGAAACATCGATGAGAGAGATACATCAACTAGCACATCCCCCACCAAGAATGTGCCTGCAACCACTGTACATGCCCTTGACCGGAATCGAACCTGGGACCCTTCAGTCTGCAGGCTGACACTCTATCCACCGAGCCAAACCCGTTTCTGCCACAATTTATTTTTAAATATCCTTTTGAACTGTGCTTTTTTTTTCTTTTTCTTTTCTATTTTAACTTCTATATGTTATTTCTGAATTTTGATTCTTTACCTGGTTTGCTGAAGACAATGGTCTGCATTTTGCGGGAGAGATCAGTCAGCTCACATAAAAAGTTAAAAACACGATGGCATTCGAGTTCATCCCAACCTGCTGTTAAGGTCTGAGGATAATAAAATAAATGAAACATTGCAGATGTTTAGAACACAAATCAAAACATAAGTCACTATTGCCTAATGAGCATATAACTGTCATAGCATATGATCCAGGTGATGTGTAATTTTTATCCACTATGGAACTATTGACATTAATAAGACATTTTACATAAAATATAGGAATACTCCCAATCCAGTTTCTTTTTCATTGTAAAGGGTGTATGTTTTCAGAGAACTTCTAAATGATACTGAATATTGAACTCTGACAGTATGAATAAGTATGAGGAAAATAGCAAAGGCCCAAACCCTCGAACGCAGCTTTAGACATCTGACTATAAACAGTCTAAAACTGTGGCTTAATTTTAGACTACAGTAGAATCCCTTTGACCCCCTCTAGCTATCATTTATGAAATTGCTTACAAAGGATAATGATTTCATTTTAGTGTGACAATTATGAACATTTAAGACATTTGGATGTGAACAAGCAAAAAAAAAATTTATTAGAGCAAAATTTAATAATTATTTTTTAGCAAATCCAAATGTATAGTTAAATATCTATGGAAAGGAAATTCAAATGGTATATCACTATACAGTTGACCCTTGAACAACACATACAGGCTTATAATGTGCAGGTCCACCTTATGCATTTTTTCCCCCCCAATAAGTACCTGTAGCGTTTTCAATATGAGGTTGGGAGTACATAGATATGGAGAGCTGACTGAATGCATTGATCTATGTCATTATATATAGGGGACTTGAACATCCATGGCTTTGGTATCTGTGTAGAGTCCTGGAACCAATCCCCCTAGAATACCAAGAGACAACTTAAATTTTGGGGGAGTTAAAGTTATACACAGATTTTCAACTGTGTGTAGGTTGGTGCCCCTAATGCCTGTATTGTTCAAGGGTAAACGGTAATTAGATTTTGAAGATTTCTTAAAATAGTTGATCTAGCCGAGACCGGTTTGGCTCAGTGGATAGAGTGTCAGTCTGTAGACTAAAGGGTCGCAGGTTCGATTCTGGTCAAGGGTATGTACATTGGTTGCAGGCACATCCCTGGTGGGGGATGTGCAGGAGGCAGCTAATCAATTTTTCTCTCTCATCGATGTTTCTAGCTCGTTATCCCTCTCCCTTCCTCTCTGTAAAAAATCAATAAAATATATTTAAAAAAAATAGTTGACCTGGATTTCAGTAGTATATAAATTAATTTATTATTTCTGGAAGGACATATAAGAAACTGCTAACATTGGTTAATTCTCTTGAAGGGCACTCAGTGGACAAGGGACAGGTCTTGGAGGGAGAGTTACTTTCACTTTATACCTTTTTATTTTATATTAGAGGCCTGATGCACAAAATTCATGCACTCGGAGTGGGGGTTCCTCAGCCTGGCCTGCTCCCTCTCAGTCCAGGAGCCCTCAGGGGATGTTCAACTGCCGTGGAGGCAGGAGAGGCTCCTGTCACCACTGCTGCATTTGCCAACCATAAGTCTGGCTTCTGGCTGAGCAGTACTCACCGTGAATGCTTACAACTACCAGGGGGCAGATCCTGTGTCGAGTGTCTGCCCCCTGGTGGTCAGTGCGCATTATAGCGACCGGTTGTTCCGCTGTTCAGTCGATTTGCATATTAGCCTTTTATTATATAGGACAAATACATGTTCTCACATTACCTGCTCTCTAAAAGAAGAAAGAAAGGGAAAAAAATCTATCTTGAAAGAAGGCTAGTAAAAGGGCCTACCCAGGGATCAGAAGGTGGCTGTCAGGCTGGGACAGTAGCAAGATTGTTGTAAGACTGTAGTAAACCTCATAAGGTTATTGTAAGTTTTAAAAGTTAGCATATGTAAATTGCTTAGAATCATATAATATATTAATATATTATTTATGATAATATATTATTAATATCAAATAACATTACATTATGTTATTATCTTCTTTGTTTACAATAAAAGTTTAATCAAGCCCAGGAAGTGTGGGGCTCAGCAGTTGAGTTTCAACAAAATATTCTTAAAATCATACCACTGATTTTTTTTCTCTAGCTTTATTGAGATATTACTAACATGTAAATTAAAGGCACACACTGAGTAATTTTTTATATGTACGTATTGCAAAATGGTTACAAGGAAGTTAATTACATCTATCACCTCCTTAGTTACAATTTTTTCATACATTTTATTTCTAAAATCATATCTTAAATAACTAACCCAAGACTTAAAACTCATTACACACACATACATACACACCTCATACTATTTCTAGTCTTTTTTTTTTAATATTTTATTGTTTTTTTTACAGAGAGGGAGAGAGAGGGATAGAGAGTTAGAAACATCAATGAGAGAGAATCATCATCGATCAGCTGCCTCTTGCACACCCCCCACCGGGGATGTGCCCGCAACCAAGGTACATGCCCTTGACCAGAATCGAACCCGGGACCTTTTGGTCCACAGGCCGACGCTCTATCCACTGAGCCAAACTGGTTTTGGCTATTTCTAATCTTTACAACGATGGCTAAAACATTGAGAACATTGGTATAGAGCAAGTAAATATTAAACATTTCTTACCAGTGAGAAACCCAAGAAGAAAATTTGAGGTGGCAAACACTATTAGACTAATAGGTCAAATTTTTACAATTTTATTTAGTTTTTATTTTTATTTTAATATACTTTTATTGATTTCAGAGAATAGAGAGAGGAGAGAGAAACTTCAAGGATGAGAGAGAATCATTGGTCAGCTGCCTCCTGCACTCCCCCACTTGGGATCCCTTGACTGGAATCAAACCTGGGTCCCTTCAGTCCATAGGCCGATGCTCTATCCATTTAGTCAAACCAGCTAGGGCTATTTTATTCTTTTTTTAAAATTATTATTATCACCTTTTTTTCCCCATGGAACAATGGATTACATGCTCTACTTGTCAATAGTTCAAAACATTCATTTTCTCATTTCATTAAAAAAAAAAAAGTACCTGTAAAAGCCTGCCATAACATGATAATCCTGAACACTGCATAGGAGCTGCACAACCACTGAATTTAAAACAGGGAACCTGTAAAGAGAACAAGTATTCATTCCTCCTTTTCAGTGGAACTGTATAATGATTTGACAGTCAAATTTAATGGAAATGTAAACATTTTTTCAGTATTAACTGAAAATAACTAAAACATTAACATTGATTAGCATTATTATATAGGTGGGGATTATGAAGGAAATATAAAAAAAAAGGCTGCCTTCAAGGAGCTCACAATTTATTTAGGAGATAAGATATACACATGTGAAGTTACTTTAATGATTTAAGGCTAGAATATGTATAAATGGTAAAATGATCAAAAAAGTACTATGTCGGTTATTATGAAAGCAAAGAAATGAAAATTTTGGGAATGATCAGAAAAGCTTATGAAGGATATAAAACAAGCAATGTCTTAAAATAGGATTCACACATAACAAATGGAAAAAATTGATGAGAGAAACAATAAGGGGAAAATTGTGCAGAGGTAGGAATAAAAAAAGTTTATTTGGGAATAAAAATATGATCAACTTAACTAGCCTCAAAGTAATAGGAAGTACAGTTGCATGTCAGGGAGACCTTCAATACCAGCTATGGACTTTGGACCTGATCTTGCTGAAATTGAGTAGCCACTGAAAGATTTTTAAGCGAGAAAATTAACTTGATGAAAGTGATGCTTTAGGAAAAATAACCTTGCTTCACTGTCTTGGGGACTGAAAGAATGGATGCTAGAAAGGTTATCTGGGAAGCTGCTATAATAATATAGATCTGAATTCAATGCAAATATGGACATGAAAAAAGCTACTGCATGAGAAATAGTTTGCATACATGAGAAATAGTTTGCATACTACTGAGTATAGAACTGAGCCATCAGTGTTTGTATGTTTGAGTTTGAATAGTAAAACTCATTTTCTTAAAGAGATTATAATACATTGATATACATTTGCAAGTCATAAATGATCATAAAAGGGTTATTTTATATATTAAAATACTTTCCTATGTTTTTGTATATTTTAACATTCAGAAATTACTTCTTCTTAATAAAATATCTAAATCACCAGTTTAAAATAGCCTCATGATTCCCATGTGGGATAAAAATACTTTTATATTCTGATAAACCTAATAACCTTAAGTGATGTATTAAATTACATAAAAAATATTTTACTATAAGTAAAAGATTACTATACTACATTTTGGTGTTTTATTATCTTTGAGTGCTTGGTAAAGTATTAGATTATCAATTAATTTTTTAGTACTAATTCATGAAGTTTTACTAATTAAGAATAGAACTTAAATGAGTATAAGACAATAAAATATCTTTACTGAAATCAAGATTGTGAACTAATTCAGAAGTATAATCTTACTTCTGCGAGTATCTTGTGAATGTACTTTAGTCTCTCCTTTGTGGGTAGCAGCAATGTACATCTTTTAAATAGTAAACCTGAGAAAGTAAAACAAACACATGAAAAAAAAGTGACAACAATTTAAAAAATCTATAAAGTGCAATCAATTAAAATATATCTATAAAGCACTTCATAATGTTTCCTGAAAATTAAGTATGTATACCAGTGAACTGTGAGCTGATAGATTTTTTTAAAGAGGAAACTTGGGAAGAAGGGTATAAAACATATATATGTTGAATACTAAGTGACTCTGATGTCTACCTAAGAGGCACTAACATAAAATCTTATAAAATATTATGAAATTGATACTATAGGACAGATATGGAAATGTTTAAAATTATTTAGATTTTAAAAGATACAAGACAAAAAATACACTAGGAAACTTTATATTGTCTTAATTCCATAGAAAACATATTCCAGTATCTCTTGAAATCAACCTCATGTCCACAAAGGAAAATGTTTTGAATTGTAAAACATGGAAAAATGGGAAAAGAGATTTTGTATTCTTTTTGGAAAAAACAATTAAAGTCATAAGTCCTTAAAATTTCTGAGGGTTGAAGTCATTTTTGCTCACAAAAAATATCCAGTTTGGATGAAATATCTGTTTCTTCCTTCAAAGATACCCTTTTATGGTGTTTGCATGTTAAGAATGTATAGAATTTTGTGTTTAGATATTTAAAAATGAAAAAAAAAAAAAAGCTCTTCAATTTCCAAGAGAGGTCTGTAACTTCAATTACAGTGACAGGAAGTGAATGATTCGTTCCCTCAAACTTTAAGTGGTCTGTTTTCCTAAAATGGCAATACATTGCTAACATTCCTATGAGGGCAAATATCCTCAAATTAAAAATAAGATATATGGAAGGAAAATATATGCCTGAATATCATGGCTCTCTTCAGTTTTTACTTTCTCTGCTTAGTATTTTAACATAATATAATTACTACTTTATGTAATTCTGTAGACTATATGAGAATATAATTTATTTTTAGAAGTTGCTATGTTTGGATAACACATGACCAGAATTGAGTTTTAAACATAAACCCTCCCTACTTTTGTACATAAAAAGACATTTTCAGTGTTTGGTTTTTAGGCTGAGTTCTTTTCCTTTCATGTTTTGGCATTCAGTCCCATGGTATATCATAGCTAGGGAATTGCAAGCTATAATTAATGTTGGTTGCCTTTTCTAATGTAAAACTGCTATTTTTAAGGGCTGCAATTCACCATATAAACCAATACAGGCTGACATTAAAACACACACACACACACACACACAAAAAACACACAAGTGCTCTGCTATATCCTTTGGAGACCAACTTCTTTAATTTCTTCCCACTAAAATAATCAGATGTAATGTTCTTTCCCCACTGGCCATCTGCTCTGTTTTATATGAAGAAGCAAATTAAAATTTATAATATTCAAAGAGCAGGATTCTGAAAATGTTACATTAAAATCTGAAAATAAGAACAGATCAGATAGAAACAGTAACATGAGAAAATGGCAAGTACATCAAACATTTATCTAAAGAATTAGTCAGAAGCCAGATATCTGCATCAAAATTAAATATAAGGTTACAATCATTGCATGACTAAAACTGTTTTAAAAATTTAGCTCTTAAGATCAATACACACTTGTATTTTAAAAAAAAAATTACTGATTTTTTTACAGAGAAAAAGGGAGAAGGAGAGAGAGAAACATCGATGAGAGAGAAACATCGATTAGCTGCCTCCTGCACACCCCGCACCGGGGATGTACCTGCAACCAACCAAGGTACATGCCCTTGACCGGAATGGAACCTGGGACCTTTCAATCCGCAAGCCAAGGCTCTATCCACTGAGCCAAACCGGTTTTGGCCACACTTGTATTTTTAAAAAATATATATTTTTATTGATTTCAAAGACAGAGGGAGAAGAGGAGAGAGAGAGAGAGAGAAAAAGAGAGAGAGAGAGAGAGAGAGAGAGAGAGAGAGAGAGAGAGAGAGAGAGAGAGAGGAACATCAATATGAGAGAGAATCATTGAATCAGCTGCTTCCTGCACGTCCTCTACTGGGGATCCAGCCCACAACCCACACGTGTGCGCTTGACGGGAATCAAACCCAGGACCCATCAGTCCACAGGCTGACATTCTATCCACTGCGACAAACCAGCTAGGACACACATTTGTATTTTTAACTGACTTACCCATATAATTGTCTTAATGCTTTGTTTGTTTGTTTGTTTGTTTGTTTGTTTAAGCAATTGAGCCTTGGTCAGGGAAAAAGCTTTTTTCAGATAAAAAGCAAGAATAAGCTCATTACCTAACCAAGTACCACTTTCTCGGCAACTAATGATGCTTGAAAAAAGATATTTACAATAACAAGAAGCAAAAAGTAACTTCATATTGTTATACACTTTACTAAGCCTAATCATAAAAACTGAAGCCAATAACACTGTAATAAAATCATATACTTTTCATTTAGTCTTGTTAAATATACCTGCCAAATACAGTTTTATATATTTATACATCTATTAATATATAGTGTTATTTTATTATCTTAAAGCTAGACATCCTTGGGCTACTAAAACATAATACTCATTAACTCATCTGTATACCTTTATTTAAATCTTAAGATCACTTTGATGTTTGGTTTTATTGCCATGCTTTGGTTGATTATAAAGTGACTTCATAATTAAATTGTTGTCATTAAGTAAGTAAAAAATAGAATTTTATTTTAGCACTCTTAGGAAAAATAAAATCAATAGAGTGAAAGACAAATGAATACAAATCAAGGGAAAAAGATTATGTAAATTTCCTTTGTAACATTAATTTAATCATGACATAATGACTTATTAGTAAACTCTACAATGCTTAAAAACAGAAAGCCATTGTTTCCGATAAGAGAGTAAAAGAATAAGTGATCTTCCGCCATAAAGTGTTTAGATTTCTATTTTAAGGACCAGATTATGGTTGAAAGGGAAAAGAGGTATAAAGATAAAACTCATTAGATCCACAGGAAATAAAATATAATATACATCAATTTCCTAAACCGGTAAGCCACCTGGAAAAAAATCAGAGGTGACACTGTATCCACATAAAATCATAAGGGCTGACACTTTACATGGAAATGCATTCTCTTATCTTTAAAGGTTAGTGTAAGGGACTGCTTTAAGGGAAAGTCCTCACGTTGAGGAGTAAAAGCATCATAGAAACAGGCACCAATTAGGAAATATTCCCTTTCCCAGGAGTCTCACAGAAATGTATAATAAAATCCCACTAAGTATAGTTCTTTACTTGTTACAATTCTTATGACACAAATTACCTAGAGATCTGTAGTGTTCCAACAGAGCAGAGTCTTGTCTCTTGCCAGGCAGCTCAAGGTGATGAAAGTCCTGTAGTAAAAATCTTTTGCTTCCTGATGAGGTTGAGATATAATTAATAATGTGCTGGCTGACTGTTTTGGACACCATGCTTAGCATGCTGATATCCTTCACTACCAAAGGAAAAATATACATATATATATATATGAATGCCTCAAATACAGGAACATTACTGTTAGTACAGTATACTAATTTATAAGTTTGCTCATTAATAATAATATTAAATAATAGTAAACATAAAGAGGAAAAGTTTGAGTATTGTACTTTCTCATTGTATCTGTTACCTAACAATGATGAAACTTTGGAAAATAAACTTAATGTGAATACTATTAATTCCAGCAGGGCTAAAGATGACAAACTAGTTCTTGGGAAAAATAAAAATATAGTCTCCAAACCTCACCTGATAAATATCTTAAGATTATTTGGAATATTTCCAATGGCAAGGCTTTAAAGTTTCCAAGTCCTGATAAGGGCTGAGAATCTGAGTCCAGGGTGTTGGAAACATGGCTGGATCGACGACTACTACGTCTATATTTCTGGTTGGGAATCAAAGTGAAACTGCTATTTACTCTAGATGCCATCCTTTTCTTATCTTGTGAATTTATCCTGGTTAGAAAAAACGAAGTTCAAGAGACAAAGAAGAAATTATAGTGATGAAGAGCTATTGTTTTCTTTAATGAAGAGGTTGCTATTTTGATGGGAAATAGTGGTCTCTATATTTACAAAGCTTTTTAATATGGTGTCCAATTTATGGAGTTCCCACAAGTAATCATTACAGCATATGAAATATTTATAAATCTCTCTCTCTTAGCAAAATATTCTAGATAATGAGTCTTAGTAGAAAATGAGAATATATTTGGATGAAATATAGGCTAATACGCAAAAATTTTTAAAAAGACTCAACACAAAAGGAACCTATATAACAAATTCAACACATTCAATTTCTGTCAGTATGTTGCTTTTATAATCTTTACATTAAAAAGTCAAAATATTGATGTAGCTTTAAACTTTTGCAGTAATGTTTTTCTATTTCTTTAAAAATGAGTACTGACATCTTTTGTTAGAAAGAATAAAAACAGAGAGATAAAAAATAGAGGCAAAAGCTTAGAGTTTTTAAAGTTCTCCTAGCTCTAAGAGACTCAGAAGGTTGCCTTCCCATGAGCCATGACATGCTGTGTAAATACATACACAAGAAGTGAAATTAAAGTCTTGTAAAATTAATGAGACAAATGAATAAATGACTAACAATGTCCCCTCAATTTCACTTTTGGTTAATTACAGTTACCCATCAGCCTCAGGAAGGGCCTGCACAACCTGATTTCAAAATGAGCATTTCTTAGAGGGACCTAAAATCGCTGATATCTTCTTATACTCAATAATAACTGAAAACAAACCAACAACCACTCAACACACACAGTGACTGTCACGATGGCTCCCATTCAGAAAAAAAAACCATGGTCTTTTACAGACAGAGGCGTAACCACAACTCCAGGCTAAAGCCCCTTGTTTCCAAGGTAACAGCCCAGGCGCTTCGCCCGTGGCAAGTATCCCCGGCCAAAATGCTTTTTCTCCTTTGGCCAGAAAACCGCTGAAATCACCTTGTTAACTCATTCCACTTAGAAGGTGGCACACATCAGCCTCAAAGCAGTTACAAATCTGTACACGTGACCAGGGAGCTCAGGGCTTCGTGCAAAGCAGAGAACCTCCCCGAGGCCAGGCGGCGGCCATGGCCACCGAAACCCGCAGGTAGCACCACCCACAGCCATCGCGATGGTGCACTGAGCGTGTGCACCGCCAACACGTTTACAAACTAAATCCGAAAGATTCGATTTGCTTACAAACGCTTTGGTTTATATCATTCCAGAACCATATATATATATATATATATATATATATATATATATATATATATATATTTCTTTATGACAAAAAAAAATAGGTGTGGTAGGGTGGTGGGGATTACTCTTTTGCAATCCTTTTAAAATTGTAATTAAAATGGCCATTTCTCCCCATGCCAATACATGGACTTCCACAAGGACTGTAAGGGCTGCATGTAAATTGCACCAAGTGGGAGAATCCATTTATTTCACCCCCGAGGTGGGTTTTCCCCCTCACCGTGGGCATTTTAAAGCAGGAACCCTTATTATCCATAAAATCCTGAGGAACCGGTCAGAGGGCCTGGGGTGGGCGCTTCTGAGGCCGCGGCGCAGGGATGTGTGACCACCAACGACATATTTATGTGCCCACAGCCCCTGTGTCCCCGAGGGGTCAACGCACGACGCCCAGATGCTTTTAAAACGAAAGCCTTTTTTTTTTTTTTTTTTTTTACAATTTATTTTCCTCTCAGGCTTTTCTGGAAAAATTGACGAGGTGTCCTCCCCACTTATGGCTGGTTTCCCGCCGCCCCTCTGGGGCCCGGGAGCCACAGCCCCAAAGAGGAGCCGCCCCGCCGCCCCGCCGCAGCCCCGCCGCCGGGCTCCGCCGCGAGAGGAAGGCGGCGAGCGCCCCCTGGGAGGCGCCCGGCCTCCTTTCCGGGAACGTCGCCCGCGGCCATTCGCCGGGGTGTCGATTCCGCTCGAACCCCGGAAAACCTTCCGAAGAGACCCACCCTCTCTCCCCGGGGACTCGCCCCAAACACCTCCAGCGGGGCCCCCTGAGAGGCCCCCGGGGAACCGGCCGGTCTGCGGCTCACACCCCGCGGGTGCATCTCCCCCGCTTCGCTCCATCCAAGAGGAAAACCCCCTCAAGAAAATACGGGGAAAACAAATCTCTTTTTACCACAGATTTTGACAGTTTTCCGCCTAAAGAATCACAGGAGGATGGGATTTAGTCGTTTTGCCCCACCATCCTCAACTTAGAGTTTTTTAAGAAAAAAAAAAAATCTCAAGACTTTCCGGCCGGCGCGCTGCGCTGCCGCCTCCCAGGAGCCCCGGTGGCCTCGAGAAGACTTTAGAATCCTCCCAGGAGCCCCAGCGGGAGAGAGGCCCCGCCCCTCATGAATATTAATGATCGTGCCTCCCATAGTGTCCTCCTCCGCTTGAATAATTAATGAGGGTGAGAGGGCCCTGGAGCCGGAACCCGGAACCCGAGGCCCCAGCCGTCCTCTGCTCCCAGCGGAAGACCGGAAGGGACGGAGCCGTTAGAATCCGGGACGGGGCTGGGACGAAGGAAGTGCCCCAACCTGGTGAGCCGTCCACCTGCCCTCAACCACTTCCTTCCCTTTCAAACTAGTTTTGTCTTTTTTTTTTTTTTTTTTTTTTTTTTAAATTTTCCCCAGCCCCGCCCCAATAGGGTAAGTTGTAGGAGCTGTCACCAGAATTTCTGCGAGGGAAAAACCTCCAAACGTTCCTTTTTGAAACCCATCTGGGGGCCTAGCATCGGAGGAAGATGAGTGCCTCCAGCCTCTCAAGATGGAGTCCGCGGCACATCTTTCAGGCTTGGCCCTCCTGCCTCGAAGATGAAGTTCGCGTTCGTGTATTCACAAGTTCAGTGGCTCTTTATCGAAGCCTGCTCTGCACCAGTCACTACACAGTAGCACTCAACAGAGAACAAGGCAAAGTTTCTTGCCTCCGTGGAGCTTATTAGTGCCATGGGAAGATAGAATAAACGGACACAATAAACTACAGACGGAGAGCAATGTTATGGAGGAAAGAAGGCAACAGGAAATAAAATGGTGGGAGAGGGGTCACCTGTGCCCTCTTTAGATGGATAGGTCAGGGGGGTCCCCCTGAGGAGTTACTAATTTAAAAACGAATAGATGGAAAGGAGCCAGTCAGGATGAGCGTTGGGGGACAGGAGGAGGGAACATGGGGAAAGGTTTTGGAGCAGTTCAGGAATTTGCAAGGCTGGCTGGCTGAGTTGAGTGAGCAAGTGGGAGAGTGGCATCATGGACATCATGGAGACCCAGGCACAGATGGGGACATGCAGGCCCTTGAAGGCCTAAAAGAGGGTCATTTTAGAACCCCTGTAGGCCCTCTGTAGTCCTGCTTGGGAGAACCTACTCCACATTATATTCAACAAAATACCATGTGCCCACATCCCTTGTTAAAATAAAATATACAAATAACTACAGAAAGGTTGATTTGAAATTTAGGATTAGTTAACATTGTTTTATTATGTAGTGACATTAATTTTGATTTTGTAGTTTTTTTGGAGTCCATTCCCCCTTCCCCCTTCCTGTCTCAAATATTTGTTGGCCCTTGACAAGACCTCAGCCCCTGGGCAGTGGCCCATGAATGAAGTGCCTAGCGGATACAAAGAGGCTGAGTGTTGAAAAGTTTAGGTTTCATCCAAAGCCCCATATAAAGTCATAGAGAAGTTTTAGCAAAGAGTGATATGGATCTGAATTACATTTAAAGATTTCCTAGCTGTTGCTGAAACCGGTTTGGCTCAGTGGATGGAGCGTCGGCCTGTGCACTGAAAGGTCCCGGGTTCGATTTCTGTCAAGGCGTGTACCTTTGTTGCAGGCACATCCCCAGTGGGGGGTGGGGGTGCAAGAGGCAGCTGATCGATGATTCTCTCTCATTGATGTTTCTAACTCTCTATCCCTCTATCTTCCTTTCTGTAAAAAAAAAAAAAAAAAAAAAAAAATCAATAAAATATATATAAAAGATTTCCTGGCTTTTAAGTGGAGAATGAATGAAGCGGGTAGGAGTGGAGGTGAGATCTGCTAGGATGTTTTTGCAGGACTGGGGTGTTGGTCCTGGAGACATAGGTTTGAAACGTTTTGGGCCCAGAAGTAACTGAATTTGCCGATGAGTTAGATGGGGTGGGGGAGGGAATGGAAGGAGTTAGGGATGACTCCCAGGTTTTTGGCTTTAGTAAGTGGGTGGATGTTCATCTCATTTACTGAGGTATGCAAGTGGGGAGGAGTTTTTCTAGTAGAGAATGAAGGATTTCATTTTGCAGATAGTAAGTTTGATATGGTAGGAGACATCCAAATGAAAATGTCAAGGAGGCAGTTGAAATTTACAAAACTGGAGGTTGGAGAAAAAAAATCTCTGTACAGATATATTTAAGAGTTGTTTTGTGTATGTGTGTGTGTTGCATTCGAGGGATGTTGACATTCAGAAATTGGGAAAAGGAGGACAAGATCTTAGAGATTGAAAGGAGTATTTAGTGGAGTAGCCTGGAGAAAAACGGCAGAGTATGGAGTCCCATAAACCTGAAATGAATTGTAGAATGAGTTGGCAGCCGTGACAAACGCTGCCGAGTTCAGCACCGTGTCCGTTAGAAGGGTCCACAGTGTCATTTCCCATCTCTGGAACCGATGGTGATTTTGCCTTGCCAGCTACATCAAACTCAAATCCCTCTGACATCTCTCCACGTCCTCTGTTCTCCATTCCTCCCCTACGTGTTCATTCATTTGTTACACGTGTCTGATGACTATTTTCGGCCACACTCAGTGTTGGCTGCAGGAGGTGTATAGTTCCTGCCTTGTAGTGGCTCCCAGTCACAAGCACCGTCACCCCTGAAGCAGTAGGCATTCTGTTTTTTCTTAAGGAAACAAACCTGCTACTTCAGCAGGAATGAGGGGGAGAAAGGCAGGAGGTGGGGAATGTCTCCTTAGCAGATCTGCCCC